CGTAGGAGAGTGCGTTGACAATTTCACCTTCTGTTCTCGATAGCTCGGCGGCACGCTCAAAGTATTCCAGTGCCTTGGTCACCTTGCCTTGTTGGAGGAGGAGTTGAGCCATTGTGGCAACAGCGATATCGCATTCAGGATCCACTAGATATCACATTAGTAACCAACCAGACATCGTTCCGTCTTTGTGTCGACTCACATATCAACGCCTTCTCGCAAAGCTCCTCGGCTGCCTTGAAGTCCTGTTTCCACTGGAAGAGAGCCAATGCCTTGTTGATGAGCGGCAGCACATTGATAGCCCCGGTGGGTTTCGTCTGGCGTTCCATGTCGATGGCCGTCTCGAACCTCTCAATGGCATCTTGATACTTCTGTTGATCAAGCAGCAGCTCACCATAGTAGTTGTAGACATCGGGCACTTTGTCGAAATTCTTGACACAACGGCGGAAGGTTGCCATTGAGGACGCAATCGAGCCCAGCTTGTACTGCGTGACACCCAGTTGAATGTGCGAGTAGATGAAGTCCTTGTCTAGGTCAATGGACTTTTGGTAGTCCTTGGCCGCATCGGCATATTCTCCAAGGATGAAGTGGAGCTGAGCGCGATGGTAGAAGATGTCAGGATCGTCTTTGTTCTGGGCCATGGCCTTTTCAAAGTCCTCGGCAGCAAGCTCCTTGTTGCCCAATTCTAGCTGCATGCTGGCCCGCTTGATGTAGGGTTGGGTGAGGGAGGGTTGCAGCTCGATGGCTTTGTTGAGATCTTCGAGAGCGTTCGCAATGTCGCCCTCGAGGTACAAGAAGGTGGCACGCATGTTGTAGGCAAAAGCCTCATGCTCGCCCAGATCCCCGAGTTCCAGGGCCTTCTTGAAGGCCGCCGCAGCTTCATCGTAGCCTTCAGCCGTCTTCTTCTGCATGGCGACCAAGCCTCGCTGGAGCTGACCTTTGCCGGTGTTCTCATCGAGCTCGGCAGTTTCCTCCAATCCCGCAGGCGGCGGCCTCGGGCGGAAGCTCTGGAGGTAATTGGAGACAAAGGTGGCACCAGGCAATTTGTTCTTCTTGCTAGCAAGGATTGCTTTGCCCTTCTTCTCCGCCACCTTTTTCAGTAACCTCTCCACGCTCTGGGCACTATTTTCGTTCTTGAATCCGTCAATGATGCAGCTGGCCGTGTAGTCCAGTAAGGCTTCGGAGAACATTCCCAGGTGTTCGTAGGCGTGTGCGCGGCGATTTAGAGCTTTGACATATTCCGGGTCCATCGAAATGGCTGCAGTGCAATCTTCCACCACTTTGTCCCAATCGCTCAGGGCGTTATAGCAAGCAGCTCTGTTAGAGTAGTAGACAGGGTCGGGTTTGCAGAGGATGGCTTTGCCATAGAGTTCGATGGCCTTGTTGTAGTCTTTGGACCCATATGCTTTGTTGCCTGCCGCCTTCAACTTGCCGGCATATGTTGCTCTCTCCTACTCAACCGTCATGATCAGCTTAGCGCAGCGAAGGTTCCGTAGTCAACTATACCTCTTTCGAGAAGCTTTCGACATTGGATTCATTGATCTCGGGCAATTCATCTTCGGTCTCGACGGTCGCAGGCGGCGGTGCTGTGCCTGCGTCTTGGATCAGCCACACCTCCCATTGCTTTCAGGGAAAGGCTGTCTCACCGGCCTCCTCATCTTTGAGACTGATTCCGGCCTTCTGTGCCTCCTCGGCAGCTTTCTTCTCTTTCCGCCGCTCCTTCTTGCTTTTTCTCTTTTCTGTGGGTGTAGCAGGAACACCCCCTTTCTGACTGGAGAAATAGTAGATGGCTCCAGCACTCGTGATGACCACTACTGTGCCAGCAATGGTATATGCGACTGCCTTGTTCTCCGAGACCCAATTCGACACGCGATCCCAGAGGGATGCAGGTGCGCGGGCAGCATCGATAGCGGCGGATTCGGACATTGAGGCGGCCAGAAATCTAATATACAAAAGAAAAATGAAGCTAAATCGGGCAGACCTCGATGCCGCCGAAGAAGGACGGAGATGGAATGGATGGCGGAGGGTCGAAGGAGGAGAAGTATTGACAGTCGTCACTGAAAGACAGCAAAGTTCACAAAGATGGGCATGGAGACGCAACTTTTCCAACCGCAGCGCATCAGCCAATCACATGGGGCGCAGTTTGTCGACCTCCGCTGGTAGGTGACCACGTTGACCACATTGACCACAGCACTAGGTACCTAGCAAGTACACATCTTTGACATCCCTCTGTCATTTTCAGTGCCTTAACACTGCGGTCATCTTCCTCCACGATGCTGAAGCTCTACCAGCGTACCTGAACGGCAACTCAGCATCCGGCAGCGACAGTTCATGCGAGAACAGTTCCATGCTGACCCATCCATCGTAACCCAGCCCGTCGACAATGGCTTTTATCACGGGCTCGATGGGGAGATAGCCACCCTTTTCTTCTTCGTACGGGAATAATCGCGCATTTCGCGACCAGCTCATTCTTGCAGGCTGGTCGGCAGAGTAAAATGGGTGAGACTCGCTCAAGGCCGGGTCGAGCTTCGCGGCGTCCCCAGCCTGGACGTAAAACACCTTTTCAACATCTATCTCTGTGATCAACCGTTCAATAGACGCCTCTAGAGCGTGGTCTGCGTCGTCAGTGCGCCCTGTCTGTGCAGTGGGATCAGCCCATGCTCGACCAGCTATGTGGAAAGTGTCCAGGCAGAGCCCAAAGTTAGGTCTGTCGACCTTCTTTGCCATTTCCCATGTGCCTTCCCATGTATCGATATATCTGCCCCACGCTACTCCCTCATATGCAAATCGGACTACCGGGCGCTCTGCAAGGCCCATGTCGGCCATTTCTCTGAAATCAGCCAGGAGGACTTCTTCGTTGCCCGTCGTCCCCTCCTGCAACCAACTTGTGGGCACTTGAATCATGGTGCTTCCCAAGATCTTGACAATGTCGAACCACAGTCGAAGCTTTCCGATCATGGCTTCATGCTGTTTGCGATCGAGCAGACCCTCGTACTGCCGAAATGGTTGGAAGACTATCACGGTCAAGCTAAGCTCATCGCAAAGCCCTCGTATGTTCTTTGCGGCCTCCAGCCGGTTTTCGCACGTCAGCCCTCCAGGGAGCTTCTCTGCGGCCGCGTCGACATCGGTGTCTATGATTTCAATCCCGCGAAACCCATTTTGTGCTGCTGCGCGCAGTCGTGTCGAGATGTCGTGCACACCGGGGTCACCCAGGGACAGCGAGGCTATCGCAGGTCGGATCATTTGTGCGGATTACGCTCCGAAAACTCTCAAACGACGAGTACCTACAACTGTTCGCTTCTGTTGACCAGAAAAGCCTACAAAACATAACAGCAGGATGCCACACCACGCTTTTTTCACCAAGCAAGATCAAAAGGCCGTTGGTGAAAATAGATAACACCCAGCCCCTCGCGTGTTGGAGGTTTCTCGTCACAAGGTCTCTCCGCATCTGAGGCTCGACCCCAATACCCGACTTACACTTGTCGGAAATGCTTTTTTCCATACCTCGCACTGAACGGGTAAAACCATCGGGCTGACAAACCACTTTCGGGGGCATATGGCGGATTTCGATTGTCGCGCCATATGCCTCATTAGCAGCGCTAATCAAGACGAAGGTAGGAACCAATGCCTCCTTCGATCTATGTTTGCCCCTGAACTTCGAGGAAAGAATAAGGATATCAGTGCCTTCAACCCCTTCTTTAATAGCTGCGAATACAGTTCCGTTACAGACCTTGGAAGTGTATATCACGGCCAACTTCATTTGTCCAATTTCAGCACTATCCGCATCTGACAGTCGACCTCATATGACGCCATGCAAAATGCTTCAACTCAGAGGAATCGACTGTTCATAGCAGGCGCACCGGGGGGCGGTTCGATAGCACCTCCTGCTCACGACTTCATCGCCCAATGTCTTAACCGCGATTGGAAGATGACATATCTGGGCGCCTCGACCCTCCAGGAAGTCATGGACGCATTCCACGCTCCTGACTTCGCGGGAGGCGTGGTCACGATGCCCTATAAGAAGACTATCATTCCCTGTCTGGACCACGTTGACAATCTCGTTGTTGAGATTGGTGCTTGCAACCATGTTTCTGTCACTGATGATGGCACTTTGAGAGGGACAAATACTGACTGGATTGGGGTCAAAAAGGCTCTCTTACAGGAAGACCCGCCCACGCATCCTGCGCAAGGGCTCAAGGGGATGGTTGTCGGAGCGGGCGGCGCAAGTCGAGCGGCGGTGTACGCTCTGACGGAACTAGGATGCAAGGACGTCTACGTTATCAACCGCGATGCCGGCGAGGTTCAAGAGCTTTTCGAAGACGTTCAGAATTATGAAAGCCCGAATCCCCCCCACATCATTCATGTCCAAACCGCCCAGCAAGCCCAAACCTTATCGTGCCCAAACTGGATCGTGAGCACTGTTCCCGACTTCGAACCCAGAACTTCGGCAGAAATCCAGGCACGATCCGTGTATACCGAATTTCTCGCCAAGAAGGACAGACCACATCAGGCGCGTATGCTGGACATGTGCTACCACCCCTTGTTGACGCGCAATCTCCAACTTGCAAAGCAGCATGGTTGGTTCGCCATCGATGGAATTCAAGTTGTCGGACACCAGCTGAAGGAGCAATGGAGGCCCTGGACAGGTGAAGAGATCAACAAACAGCAGGAAGAAGTCGCATGGCAGATTTTGCGAGAGAGTGCATGCTCAGACTCATCAGTTACTACCGCAAGGGCAGGAATCTGAACATGGCTGGTTTTCTAACCCTCCATACTCTGCAAGCAATGCCAGGTTTTCGCCAAGTAGTCCTTCCAAGCAGCATCAATCTCGTCGGTGCTCCTACATCCCTGTCTGCTTTCGTTTTCTTATTTTGACATCTCTTACCAACCTACCTGTGTATATCGAGCGCTTGGAGTGCTCTCAGCCTTACGACACAATTCTAATAAACTTCATTCGGAAAGTCAAGGCAGTCGAGGATCAACTCACCCCGGCATACAAACTGCTAATGCCCCCCTCGGCGCCGTAACAGACTGACACTAGCAAAGCCGTGCAGCCCAACCAGCTTAGCCTCACGCGCCTCAACGGCGGTAGGGATCCCCAGCAGCGGGCCGTAATACTGGAACTTTTGATCCTCGTCTCCGGAAGCCTGGCAAGCACCCCTGGTGGCCCCGCTGCTGCCATCCAGCAACTCCGGAGCCCAGACGGCACCGAACTGAAACCACTGGTAGCCGTCCAGCTTGTCGATGTACGCGGCTCGCAGACTGCCCACACGGTCACGGCGTATAAAAGGCCAGCCCAGGCGACGAGCAGGGCCAGGACGAGTTTCCAACTCGCGACGCCGAGAAGGAGGCCGTGGACCTGCCTGCCGACATTGAGGTCGTCCGCGAAGGACTGCGGACCGGGCCCCATCATCGAGATGGAGACTTGGCCGACGGGCTTGAGCGGCGCGAGCCGCATGCGTTCGGGCGTGAGGGCTAGCATCTGCATGGACCCTGCGCCCAGGTACAGCGCGCCTCCCGTAGCGGGGTTGGCCGCGTACCAAGCGTTGATGCAGGTGTTGTTGACGCCCGAGAAGCGCAGGTCTGCGCATGTCAGGGCCGTTAACAGCAGGAGTTCGAGCAATGGAACGCCCCGACCTTGCACCCCCAGTTTGAGTTGCTGTATGGCATTCTGGCACTGCAGCATTTCCAGCTTCTGGTCGTCCGTAAGCTGCGAAGCATTCTCATCGTGCAACCATGTATAGTTTTCACACACAGGGATCGTGGAGTAATCGCCGCCGGCAAATGGGGAGGGCACGCTCCGCGTAAAGTTTGCGAATGTCCTGGATCGTGCAGAGAGTGCGGCGCGGCCGGTCAAGAACCGGACCTGGAGGGATATTCCATACGAGAGGATGTTTGGATTGCGGCATTGTGAGCTATCTTCTCCAGCCGGCTGGAAGGGTTCGGAAACAACAATCGCGGAGGAGTTGGTCATCTCCAACATCGTTGGGTCAGCGCCGGCGGACGTTTCGTTGGAGTACTGCCATGTCACCATTTCCAGCATCCCTTCGTGCATGTCTTTCCCGTTCGGAAGTGAAGAATAAGGTGTGGTCGATTTTATCGACTCCTCTATTGCAGAGAGGATCCCGTAGCTGCATTCATAAAGAGGGCCGGACTCGACATATCCCCATGCGGTCGTCAGGTTCCGGTAATCACCATACCCGGTAACGTTGAGCAATCGTAGGTCCCGCTGAGGTTGAGCTAGCCTCGCGCTGACATTCACAAGCATGCCCCAGGCGGCCCCGTTGACGCGCTCGGACACGACTGGGGCCACAAAGTATTCTATCCACTGGCTATCTCGGTCCTTGTGGGTCGTATCATCGTAGAAGGTCTCAGTGATATTCTCATCAGCTCCCGCTGGAAAATACAGTACGTTGGGGGGTTCCGGAAGGGCAGCGAGGCCTTGAGTCCATCTCTGTCCTCTTGTCTCAAACATCCGATATCGAACATGTTAACTCGAATACAATATTTCGCGCCCTCGCCAGAGGCTTCCTATGTAGGAGACTTCCATCAAGCTTTGTTGATGCTTGCGACAAGAGGGGGGACAGAGACATTGGCTCCAGGAGCAGCTGCTCTCGCAAAGAACAGCACAAAAGACACGAGGCGAGGGGACCTGTCAAATAGATCATCTTGCTTTTGCCGTGCAAATGAGGCGTTGAATGGCTGCTTCGAGACCATCGCTTCGAAACTCAGCTCTCCGTATTCAACTGTTCAGGCGAATGTGGTTGGTTGTTGATAGCAACCGCAACACAGCAGAAACACGGCTGGGAATACGAGTGTCGAGCCGTCAAAGGCGACTTGCACTTTCTCCCCATATTACAACGCAGCCTAAAAGCACCCAGGTTGTGGAGGGAGCGACGCGGGTAGGTCTTGGTTGCGCAATAGATGTACGTACAGCACTCGGGCGGCAGCCTCAAAAGGTTATGACGTTGACTGCCTGCACAAGAGTTGTCACTCACGGGAAGGCGATAACTATTGTAACAAGGCAAAGTGGCTGTGTTGGGCTGGTATAGGGGTAGCAGGAAGGAGATTTGGCTGGTCACATGTCAAAACCAAAAAGAACTAAAGGCGGGTACTGGACAGTTCACAGTCCCGGTAGAGAGCCAATCTTTACAGGTTGAACAGAGTATTCTATGTTTTTGATGTCGTCTACCTATTCCTGAGTTTTTCATCGGCCCGTTCCTACTTCTCAATGTCGTCGCCGTGCTGGGCGCTTGTTGCGCTAGCCGCTGCCTCTCTGGGGGTGGTGTTGGTGGTGGTGTTGCTCGGTCAGCGCCAACCAGAAACACGTTCTCGATTCCCGACCTGCTGGGCAGGCCTCTGTGCGTTGTTGCACGTGCAAGCCGAACCCTGAAGTGCTCTGTTACACCATGTATATGTAAAATCACCTATACAACTCTGAGACTCACTTATCCTTTTGCGATGGACTGCGTTGGCCCACTGCTCCTACTCACCCAAGGTTGCACTGTCGCACTGTCGCCCAGCCTTCCTCTCAGGCGTCCCTAGGCCTCGTCGACTCGGGCCATCACACATTACGAGGTATGACTCAGCCATCTTGGGGGCCGAAGGTCTTTTCCTACGCGGATATTGTAACTGACTCTCGAATGGTATCAGAAGACGGCGCCTGCTTTTTGCTTCCAGCTATACCTAATGGGATTGCTCCTGAATCCTGCCGGCAGCCTGAGAGATGCTGAGAATGAGATATTTACATATAGTTCGGCTGCGTCGACTGCGGCCTGGGTCTCTTAGATTTGGCATGTCCCGATAATTCATCTCCGGGAATTTATTTCACATTGAACAATGCTTCAGTCATTTTACGCCGAAAATTCACATTTGTCGTGAATCCGCCATTATTAATTTTTGATGTTCATGATGGAAACCGTTTTCTTCGAAGCTCCCAAGGACCAGGTGCCGAATTTTGTACCTCGACCATCTTTACACCAACAACTCGAAAACGCTTTCAGACCAAAACCACTGTCTAAGTCGTCGCGACCACGTATTGCCGTTGTGCACGGACGGGCGGGAACAGGGAAGTCACAACTGGTGGCAAATTTTATTGAAGAAGCCCGCGACCGTTATGCCGGGGTGTTTTGGCTTGACGCTAGAAGAAGAGATACAATCGACGAGCACTTGCGTCGGCTGGACTGTCTCCTTTCAAACGAAAACGAACCCAAGGTCCAAGTTATCGCCAATCTCGAGGAGCTAGTCAACTCGGCCTGCCACTGGTTTAATCAGCGCTCAGACAAGAAGTTCCTTCTGGTTTACGATGGCGCAGATAACCTTGGAAATGGAGACCGCTCATCTACTGTCGATCTCAATGCCCTCATACCACAATGTCGAAACCTGGACATTCTTATTACCAGCAGGGATTCGGCGGTAGCCAAACTTGGTTCCACTGTGATTCCGATGACAGACATGGAGGAGGGCGAGGCTATTGAGCTTTTGCTCCAGAACTCTGGCTTGAATCAGTCTGCGGTGTCTCGAAAACAGCTACAAGACACTCAGATTATGGTAGAGATCCTTGGGTATCGGCCTTTGCTGGTCACTCTCGCGGGCTCATATATTGCTCAGAATCCCAAGATCCAATCTCACCTTGCGCAATATCTTCCCGAGTTTCGACGCAATCGCAAAAAGGTTGTCCGGGACTACCGTGGGCTTATACCAAAATTTCCGGCGGCCTCTCTCGCGATTTGGGAAACTTCTCTCGAGCTGGCGGCCGAGAAATCTCCTCTCGCCGTCCGAATGCTTACATTCCTCAGTTTTCTGGACCCGAGGGACATTTCTTCGGATCTGTTTGAAGATGGTACACATGTCCATTTGTTTAGCTTTGCTGAAGCTTTAGATTCAGCCAACGACGAGGGCTCAGCGGACTCTTCTTCTTCCACCGAAGATGGCATTGTGGAAGGCGATCCGGACTCAACAGAGGACGACCAGGAATCCGCACGGGATTTGCCAATCCTTGCCATATCCGATCAGGAACGATCGGATATACAACACGCCTTCTCGGTGCTTGAGTCGCTGTCCTTCCTACGACGGTCGGCTCAAGGGTCTCGCTTCCGTATGGAGAATCTTATCTACTCATGGAACCAAGAACGCTTGTCTCAGGATGAAAAGGCTTTAGCCGTCAAAGTTACCTCGGAGTTTCTGATGGATAAAATTAGGCGAAATTCTGAGGCATCGACATCAGAAAAACGCTACCTGGGCTCTCAAATGATGGCAAATTTTGACAACATCGCCCGTCTGCGTGAGGATCTTACAGATCCAGAACTCCAGAGTATGTTAGTTTCATCTCTTGATACCTTCGCCGACCAGTTAAGCGAGATGGGCCGAGGATTGGACGAAATTTCCGTGAGACAACTCTGCTACGATATGTCTGAACAGGTTTATGGAACAGATCATATGGAAACGCTGGCAGTTAAGCGATATTTAGCCAAAGCATTCTGGGCAGCAGGAGACCTAACTCAGGCTGCTACATTGGAGAGAGAGGTGCTCGAAAAGATGACGGCGATCCTGGGAAACGAAGATACCCGCACCCTGGAAGTCATTAATGACCTTGCACTTTCTCTTCAGGCTCTAGGGGATCCAAAAGGTGCTGCTTCTTTGTTGAGAGAGCTGCTAGAAAGAAGGACGAAGCTCCATGGAAACAGTCATCCTGATACCCTACAGGCGATGAACAATCTGGCTAGTATATTGATCGACGCCGGGGCCCTAACGGAAGCAGTCGCAATAGCAACGCAAGCCTTGGACCTGAGGAAGCAGGTTCTCGGAGAAGAGCATCTCGATACTCTTACAACTATGAGCAATTTAGCAGGAATACACCGCGCTCTTGGGGAATTCGATCAGGCCGCAACTATGTACAGGCAGGTTTTGTTGAAAAGAAAGCAGATTCTCGGTAGGGAGAATCCCGCAACTCTGACCGCAATGAACAACCTAGCGGCTATCCTGATGGGGACAGGCGAAGTAGAAGAAGCAGTGAGTTTACAACTGGAGGTGTTGGAGATGAGAAAGAAGACTCAGGGGAAGGACCATCCGGACACTCTCAAGGCAGTGGTGAACCTGGCAAGTTCACTCTATGCTATGGAAGAACTGGAAGCGGCGGCCGCTCTGCAGCAGGACGTCTTGAACAAGAGGAGACAGATTCTGGGCGACGCACATCCGGACACCCTAAGACTCATGGGGAACCTGGCAAACACGCTCTTTGCACAGGGACACCACGACCAGGCTATCGACCTCCTCACAGAATCGGTCGAGCAATCAAAGATCACACTGGGGGACGATCACTTCGAAACCATCCAAAGCATGGAGAATTTGAAAGCGATGCAGGATCAGCACAACCTGCCGCTGAGAGACATTACCAATCTTTTGTGCTAGGTTGGCCCGCTCCTCCCACCAAAGCGTAGTACAATCAACACAGAGAGGGGTCGTGCACAAAGGAAGCAGGCCGTTGACTTGGGTGTCGAAATGACCATGATGTGTGAAGGGGAAGAGGAAAAGCGCGGCAGAAGCATTTTGATGTTCCGACGTGGAACCAACCTGTAGATCTCTACGGGATGGGAGGCGACGCGACGGCCCGAGTGCTTATGTAGTGGTCTGCCGTATTTGTTCCGTAACTGTACTCGGTACGGGGGCGCTTGACGGCGGACGCATGGTAAGCCTTAGAGCGGAAGTTGGCCGAAAGTTTCGAATCTGTACAATGTCTCAAGCGGCATTTGTCCAGACCTTCAACGGCAGCACATGTCGAATTGCTCGAGGTTTCCGAGAAAGGAGTTTCCAAGACTCCGTCAAGTTGCTCTGTTGGCTTAATGGTGCAGTTAGGTTGACAACGCGCGAGAATGATTGGAACTTGTCTCACCAAAAGGCGACCACGGTGTCCTGCCATCATGCTAACAGTTCTTCCAGCAGGTTGCCGAGAAATCTCTCGTACGAGGCAATTGCTGTGGAATTTCCCAGATCATGAACGTGCGAGGAGCGTCGCAATGAATAGTTTGGTGGGCTGTGAGGCTCTATTGCTGTTGTCTGTCTGTCTAGTTCCAAGGTGAGAGAAGCCAACAAGGACTTCAGGGAGAGAAGAGAAGTTGTGTATCAACCTAGTCTTTGACTGAGGGTCTAGTGGTAAGTTATGTACACAACATGCTGGCCCTGTTCCGCCAGTTTGTGCCCATGGCTGATGAACCGAACCTCTTCACCAGAAATTTCGGTGATCTCTTTCGCGAGAAGGCATAAAGGCATTCCGCTTAAATCGTCTTTCTGACGTATTCAACGGGACCTGCATATCTGAACCGGCCGCGGAGAACGTAATATGTCAAAGAAAAGAATACAACGCCTCCATAGACGACAATGGCCCAGTTCATGGTCTGCGGGTTTGGATTTGGCCCAGGGGGGAAGAAGATCATGATAAACGCCAGCAACAAGAAGCCGACGGAAAGGAGGTTGATCGCCAGACCGTAGCGACCCAGCGAAAACTTGGATGGCAGAAGCGGCTCTTTCCGGATGCGTTTGATTGCCATGCAGGTGATGGAAACGATGTAGGAGGACAGCAGCGCGCAAAGACCGAGCGAGGTCAGCTGGTTGAATGCGATTTGAGAGCCGATGTTGATGAGCGACAGGAGGCAGGAGACCACAACGGTGAAGATGACGCCGTTGAGAGGGATGTCCCACCCCTCGGGGACGTAAGAAAACCAATTGCTGAAGGGGACACCGCGATCGCGAGCAAAGGCGAAGATTTGTCGAGAGCCGGTCGCCATGTTAGTCATTGCACCGAAAGTGCTGAGCGCAATCATGATTGACACCATAGCTGTTGCACCCGCTTTAGACTGAGTCGCGTTGTAAAAGACCTGGATAAACGGATATCCGGTGGGGGTCGAAAGAACCTGCTCGACATTTCCAACAGTGTAGCAGAAGGTACTGCAGAGCAGGAATTAGCATGAGTCCTAGAAGCGAAGAGGGAGGATCAAAACTTACATGACCATGATAAAACCCAGTGCCCCGTTGAAAATTGCTGTGAAGACCATGGCTCGCGGAAGAATCTTGCTGGCGTTCTTCAATTCTTCAGACATATGCGTCGCAGCATCTGCCCCGAGCAACGAGAGAACAGGACTGTTCATGCCCACCAAGCAAGCGAGGCCAACGTTTCCCCAGCCATTCGCGTCTTCGAAGACCGTCCAGACCTGTTTGGATGGTGTTCGAGGAGCTAGAACCCACAGAGGAACCAGGATGCCAAAAAAACCCGCGATATGCAGGAACAGGACGAGACCCTCCACAAGAGGAAGCCTCTTTGCCAAGACAGTGTTAAAGAACCCACAGACCAAGGTGATGGCAATGGTCAGAAGTGTGCCGTGCCAATATTTGTAGATATAGCTGTCGTAGTTGAGGACAATCAGACCTTGGATTTCGGTAGCAGCGAGGAAGACGCTGGACGCCGCTCCCGCTTGCCATCCTAGCACGCAGACCCATCCGATAAAATAAGAAATGAATTTTTGCGCTCGGGGTGGTGCGAATTCAGAAACCCAGCTGGATAAGTTTAGCATTTCGGTGTCGTGTTGGAAGGTGATAAGGCGGGGAGTTCCCTTACTGGTATTGTCCACCTGCCGTCGGAGCCATACTGGCCATTTCAGCCATCGAAACGATGTTCAGAGACATGCCAATAGCACACGCAATGTACATGTATACGAGACCGGCGGTACCACCGTTGCCCAGGGCGAATCCAGCGGTACTGTTAACAGCGTCAGTGAGCCGCACAATCCGTATGTCCAACAACAGCTTGGCTCGAGAAGATTGCAACTTACCCAAGTTGGCTTTCCCATGTGCTCATCAAAATCATAGCAAAGCCCATGATCGAGAGGAACCCAAAGTTTCGCTGTTGAACAGGATATTAGTGTTTGCTTCTCAGAAAAAAGGCCCTCGTTCAATTATCATCCACGTCCGCAGACAGGAAGCTTGCCCTAAATTGTTGTTCTTTACCCATCCGCTGCATATCCTTGACATCGTCCATGGTGCCATCCTTTTCGCCAACGAAGCCTTCTCCACCAGGGACATCGTCTGGATAGACCTGAGTCTCATGGGTCTTTAATGCTTTATCCATGGTGATTTTTCCTATCGTAGGAATCGAAACACTTGACGGGGGGCAGTCAGAGAACAGCAGGCAAGCAGTGAAGAGTCTAAGTAAGGAAAAAGATTGACAGCTTGAGAGAAGAGAGGATGGCGACCCGCCGTTCATCTCTGTTCTCTTCCAGACCCTTTCGCTTACAGCTCGTCCAATAGTAAGCGAGTCTCGAGGGGAGGCCACGCAGCATGCGCACTACCTGTAGATAACATGTGCCTGCTAGACTAGAGGTAGATTCGCGGTTTGCACCGCGTGCGGATTGCTGATTCCGACAGCGCCCTAGGCTGATGTGTGGGAATAAGTACTCCATATTCCACCAAGGCCTAGGAGTCTCACCTGTCACCCAAGCCACCAGGGCCATTAGTCTCGATTATCAGGTTGGTTCATCAGTCCGTGTGCCTGTTGCAATTAAGGCAGGGATACCAGATATCACCTCTACCCACACCCATATTTATGTTGAAAACCCTATCCTACGTGGCAAGGCTAGGTAGCCGGCCATTCAGCGCGGCCCTTAATCTACCTTTCAAAAATACAAGTACCTATGTAAGTAAGTATGTAGATCGCCTGCGTCCATCTGTAACCGTTATCTTGAGCGTCAGCCGCCTCATTCGGCCTCTCTCCTCATGGTCTGATTCGATTTCTTCCTTCTTTTGTCGGCTTAAGGTCTAAATTCGACCAATATGACTTCGATATCGGGTGATGGACCTCGATTTGCGACAGTCACGGATAACGATTATGGTGGCGTGGTCTGGACGGTGTCAATTCTCTGCGGAATCTACTTTCTGTTGACCATGGCGTTAAGAGGCTATATCAAACGGAGAACTTGGGGCCTCGACGATTGGCTTGCTGCGGCGGCGACTGTATAAGAGACGAATTCTTCAATGGGGGCCCGGGGACTGACAAAGTATATAGGCAATGTCTCTGGCTCAATATATTGCCATATGGGTGTCAGCGTCGAACGGACTGGGCAGATCCTGTAAACACTTAACCGAATCGCAGGTGTCGAACATCGGACGGGTAAGATGGAGTCTTGTATGCCTGGACTTGATACATGAGATACATCTGACAATGTCACTAGGGAGTTCTTGCTGGCGAGATCTTTTTGGTTATCTCTTTGGCTTTGGCCAAAGCATCAGTTACCTGCCTCATCCGGCGACTATTCTCCATCAACATGAGAAAGCGTTCACTCATCTGCGACTCATTCCTGGCAATATGCGTTATATAAAGTCTGGCGTCCATCTTGATCATTGCAGTCAACTGTCCTCTGCTCTCTCTGATGGGATATCACGGCGAGTTCTGCGCAAGTTTTGTGAGCTCTTGTCTCGGACTATCGAAATCTTCCGGGGAATCTTTGGCTGACCTTCTGGCGAGCAGGTACCCCGCTGGGAAGCCATTGGGATTCTCGACGCTGCGACCGAGGCTGCTATAGTTGGAATGGTCTTTGCTCTTCTTTGGGGCTTGAAAATGAAACCCGGGAGAAAGGCTCAAATCGTGACAGCATTTGCCTTTAGACTTGGGTAAGTCATGACACCTTTATTTCTGTCTCTGGGGGCTTATTAGGTAAAAATCAAGTATCATTGCTTTTGCCGCTGTCCATGTGTGGGATCAAAAGAATTTTACCGTTCGACCAAATACCGGAGTTCGACTGGCCGCTCCCATTGTTTTTCAGCAAATCGAACTTTGCTATTCTCTGCTCTCTTGCACCATTCCCAACTTGAAAAGTTTCCTCCTCAACTTTGATACTACCATTGGCATGACCCTCGACCCGTTAACGACGAGATCCTACGGGGTAACAAATCCGCATTCTGCGACGACATCTTTTCGATTAAAGACTCTGAGATCCCGGAATGGCGACAAGCAACCGAGCCCAGGAGTAACGCCACTCTTTCGCCCAGATGCTGTTGAATACACTGCGGCAGTTGGCAGAAATAGCGCACCCAATGATATGAACGAAGAAGCCTCATCTATATCCCGAGATAACCAGTCTGACCGAAGCAAGGGCAGTCAAGAAATGATCATTCGCCGAGAAGTCGCATGGACTGTCCACCAGGACTGACTTGAAACTTGAATTGGGACTTGGGACTTGGGGAATCCAAAAGGAGGATTCACAAATTTGGAGTAACGTTTGTCTGCTTTCTGGGAGATTGCGTGTACAAACTCTTCCAGACTGATTTCGTTGCTTGAACATCCACTGTGGAATGCGGCGAAAATCGTCCAAGCGCGAAGCAGCTCGGCCGTCGATGTGCGACTGCACTCCGGATATTCCAAATGCTGTAGGATAGAAATTTGTGCATGGCCGGAGCGAGGTGAACGGCCATCTGCCACCACAGAACTCTACTTTGTCGCCTTGGTCGGTATCATGCTTTCCAGAGAACAAGACGTCAAGCAGACTTCCACCAGCGGGCCGAGACGCATGGCTCGGTACAGTAGATGCGGAGTAGGAGATCCTACCTCGCAGCGGACTGAACCCTAAAAATCAGCACTGAGCCACTAGGGGCTTCATAAGTATTGCACGACTGGCCTGTGGTAAGCTTTAGCTCACTTCGCTCAGGCGACGAGCACATTTCTAGCCTGTCTGGTTGTGGGCGTTTGACGAACCGACTAAGGATCCAGCTCTTTCGTGTTATTTCATGCACAATGCTGGATTGCACACTTACTACATGACCCTGCAGGATATGCACCACGCTGCGAGGGGTAGGAAGCCGGATCACGGCACTGGTGGTTTAATGATCCTTTGTACACAAGCATGTGTTGGGAAAAGCTTATCAAAGCTTTCCTCTTATTAGGCTCGGCTTGCAGGGCCTTCGGGGTCTTCCGCTCCTCTCCCCGAGTGCTGGTGTGGTCCAAATCTGCCAAATCTACCAAATCTGGCAAGATCCTCGGTACTAACCAGAGACCGTCGGGAAGGCTCAGGAAAAGTGGAAATGCAAATGCCCAAGCCTAGAACGCCATGAAACAGGCTTCGGAACGAAGCCTACTGATCAGCATTCATCGTCAGTCGTGGTTTGCAGATGCCCAGCTGCCTCGACTACCTACTTAGGTACTATCGACTTAGTTTGTCAATTACAGCTTAGGGTAGGGCTTCCCAACCTTGTTAAGCGACTGTCCAAACATTATCCTCGACCCCCGTGCCGCGTGTACGTGGGCTTTATGTCGGTACTGTCCACGTACTTTCTTTGATCAGCGACAGATGAGGCAAATCGAGGTGAGTAAGAATGGCAAAACAAAGAGGCTGCGTTAGAGGGCTTCCTCCTCCCCCAGTCCCTGCAGGACTGGACTGAGGGACTCCTGCCAGGGCCCGACTTTCTATCCTCCTATTACTCGTCCAATTACGGGTAAGGCGGCGTTTATTAGACAGTCAATGCGAGTACCTAGGCTCTTGTCAAAGCAGACCGATAATCTGGGCGCAAAGCCGTTTTACGTTCTCCCCTCAAGGGCAACTGTCCCTGCTGTGTGCGATCAGAACATTTCCCGTCCAGAAGGCTGATATACGCAAGGCCAATCCAAAAGGACCGAATCCCAGCGCCACTTTCTGGGCTGTCTTTGCACCGTCTAGCCAAAGCCACCACACTACGCTAGCGACTCTTCAATGCCGCAAGGGGATCAAAGGATTTCAGATATCAAAAGAGGAACCTCCCCGAGCAATCACTCAACCCCCCAATCAGCATTTCGTTTCCATTTGTGTAAAGATGGTCTTACGCTTCGCTAGCAACGCCGACTTGCCAATCATCTCCGAGATCTTCGCGATTGGTTTCCACGATGAGGAGGTCGTTGGTCCCCTCCTTCACCCCTTCCGCGACAGACATCCCAAAGACTACTTGAATTACTGGAGACGACGATGTCGTGAGAGATACTGGGATTACAGCAGGGTGTTCCTGGTCAGCTGTGAGAAGGATGGGAAAACTGGAATCGATGTCGTGGTGGGCGTGGCAGAGTGGCAACGAGTCGGTTTCGGATGGGACAGGTTTTGGGGTCTAGGAGGCTTTTGGGATCCGCGTTAAGTCCCCCGACCTGTCTCTCTCAAGGCTCAAGAGCGGTGTATGGTATCCAACCGAGCTTTGAAGTCTGACTCGTCGATGTCCTACTCGAACTAACGATAGTGATAGGGAAGCTGATCCGACCCCTCATCTCAGCATTCAACCGAATCTTGTCCATTTGGAGCCCAAATCGTGCGGCAGCTCGAGTTGATCCGTCCGACCCATTTCCATTGACCCCGACCACCATGGAACGCAGCCTCTGGCCTTTCGTCTCTTTTTGTTACCTTTCGCCACCTCGCAGACGGACTCGATGGTCACTTGAATGCATCTCTGTACTACCGGACTACCGCAAAAGTGGCCATGGTCGTGACTTGGTGGCTTGGGGTCTGGAACGAGCACGGGAAGAGGGAATTCCGGCCAGTGTCATGGCCGCTGCAGACAAGGAGAGGTTCTATCAACGGTGTGGCTTTACAGAGGTTGCAGGCTGGGCAAACGATGGCATTGACGATCAGGGGAGAGTCAATCCTCTGAAGGGACGGATCAAAGGAGGATGTATTCTGTATACACGGGTGCAGGAAGATGACGAGTGGGAGAGGAATCATCCCAAAAATGAATGATATTTCTCCGATAAGTGTCAATAAAGGGGGCCGTATGGCGCTCTGATCCTCGAGTCCCCAAAGCCACTTGAAAACCTCCCTCCACAGGCTTTTGGCCCGCGCCTGTTTCGACTCTCCCTTATTTCGGTCGCCAGGACTGAGCGCCCCCGAAAATATTTCTACTCAACGACTATCACCAAAGAACTCGGTTACTCCGTGGTCTCGTCTTCCACCAACTCTTTTAAGTGGCCCAAGTAAATGAGCACTTGAAGATTTGCACTGGCCTAGCAGTGGAACAAGGAGCCGTTCTTCCTGGGAACCAGTTTTTGATACACTCCAGTAACGAGGCAGGCCTGTGCATTTACGGAGCATGGGGTTTCAACAATCAAAACCAGCAAACAAGAAGCCCTTTTATCTCGATTCTATTCAATGAACTTGGTGAGGCAGGCGCAGTTTAGTCTAAAGGTAAGGAGAGAAATAATCAGACATCGATCGTTGCTTCTCAGACGGATTTCGATCCAGAACAGGGCTTTGTAGTTGGAAGGGTGATGCTGGACGCAGCATCTAGCACCAAGTTGTGGTTTTCCCTTATTCCTCACAGCCTCCCACCGCTCCTTGCGGCCAGTATCGTTGTTCCAAATCTGCTTGCGAAGTCTAGGTCGTTCTACAAGAGTCTCCACTAGCTAAAGAGAGTCGCGGGCATAATGTTCTCCTTGTGATCCATACAGCTTTGTGGATTGTGGGCCATATCTTTGTTCGTGCTGTGTCTCGAGAGTTGAGGTTTGCAGGTGAAGCCAAGATTGACGGGGGCTTTTGACTGTTCCGAGTCCCCCGATGACAATAACGTTTCACTTTAATATACGAGGTATTGCCCCAACTAATTAAGATGTCTGCTAACGGCGCCACCCCCACCACAACCGAGCCGAATTGAAGCACTGACCACCTTTTCGAATAACCGAGCGGACGAGGCTGGAAGGATTTCCGAAGGATGGATTCCATAATGTCTGTACTGCGGAGAAACAAAGATAGAGACAGACTCCTTTTCCTGTATAGTTCCAGAAGTGCTCAAGCTGGTTGCCTTCAAACCTCAAGACAGAGCCATAAGAGTGATTAGAGGGGGTCACGTGTATCTCAACTATTAGCCATAACTGGCAGGATTGCCAAGAGATGTAAAGACCGTCGATACCAGCACTCGGCCGAAGGCCTCGGACTAGTGTCGATACCCACAGTGTAAATTACTAGACAAGTATATAGTCAGACAGCCCTCGGACTCTTACAATCTATTCATGTCCTCCATTGAGTCACAGGAAGCCAGGCAGTGGCTAGCTGGCATCATTGAATCTTTTTCCATTCTTGTTTCCTCGCTTCGTTAATCTACTCGAGTTGCTCTGGGCCGCTGGTAGTTGCTCGCTGAGACGCGCAGCAACTGCCCAAAAGCCCGGCCAAGGAGCGTATCGTCGAATCATAATAGTAACTAAGCACACAAAACATGTGACGAAGTGCACAGAGTGGCTTCTAATGTTACCTTTCGGACCACCATATCATTGCACGCTCTGTCAGCAGAGCTTCTCTAGAAGAGAGCACTTGCAGCGACACGCAATCAAACGTGAGGCTCCGCTCAGAGCTGCTGTGACAAGGCAGATGATCCCTGGGTCAGATACGGAGTTGCGAGCGTTCCGTTGTGATATATGCTCGCAAACATTTAGCAGAAGGTCAGTTATCCACCACCTCGTTAATGGAGCACTCAAGATTGATCCTCTTGTGTTCTAGCGATGCTCTGAAAAGGCATACTTCTATACACCGGTTCGCGGAAGAGACATATTCCTCCTCGACAACCTCAAGCCAGGATATTTCAAGCCGGTCAAAGCGAGCTTCTGCTGCTTGCGATGCTTGCTCCCGATCAAAGACTAGATGTGACGGACGAATCCCCTGTGGCCAATACCTTGCTAGGGGAAGACTTTGTACATCGGATAGACCATATGCCCTCAAGAGGCGATGTGCCCTTCCAAATCATGAGCTTGCTCATCAGAATTGCGGCGCCGCTAGAGAGGTCCATGGGGAGATTGATGCCGTCGACGCCCGACCAGAAAATTTGTCTTGGTCGGCTCTGGGAGTAGGAAATCCTACCTAGAGAGAAAGTAGAATCACTGACTCCTTCGTTTTCATTAGTCCCCCCGCTAAAGCACGACGTGGGCAGATGGACAACGTAATCCGAATCGCGATGAAAGGAAAAGCGGGTTGAGTCTAATGGTTAGATAGACAGCGCTGAACTGAGTAGGCAATCTGACGATAGTGCTTGCGACCGGGCGCCACTGGACGAGGACTCAGTGCCCCCAGCTCAACAGCAGCCGATAGAATCGATGATCAATGCTGCAAATACGCAGCAAATGAACTCGTTTGGTCTGAGTGGTGGATTTCTCTGGAACGACTTTGCCTCACTCGAGTGCCACAATCCATTTGAGTACGAGAATCTGACGCATCTTTTCTGGTTTCCTGACGCATTCATTTCCGAGGATGGGGTTCTTGGACAAGGAACTACCCAGAGTTCTGTCAATGGCGCACATAAGCAAAACGGTGCGGGCAACAATGTGGATCCATATGCAGACTGGGTTAATTCTCATCCCTTGAAAAAAGGACCTACAGTTGAAGTGATACGGATCTGCGACTTCCTGCACGATTCAAAGAGCTGGGCACAGATTCATTTGCTACAGGGCAGATCCGGCTTGATATAGACTTTGGACCCAGTAGTCGCTGACGGACTCCGCGACACTGTTTCTTCTCGGATACATGTCACGGTGTCCAAGGCACTTGATCAAGATCTTGTGAGAAAGATTCCACATCTGTTTCCGCCTCTACAGACCGTCCAGGCAATCTTTGCAGAATATCATCGGAATCTCGCCTTGCAGTATCCAATGGTACATCCAAGTACCTTCTTTGAATCCACCTGGGAAGAAGATGAGGCTTATTCTGACATCGGCTTGTTCTTTTCCACTCTAATGACCTTTGGTTGCCTCACTATCCCTGTGCAGGAAGCTCGATCGTTCGCGATTCAGCTGGCCTTCCTCATACGCAACATGATCAACGAGACAATGACCAGGGACGAAAATCAGATCAATGATATCTGGACCATGAGTACCGCGCTAAGGGTAACCGTGCTCAGCGCGTGGTGTGGCAACGAAAGACACGCGGAACTTGCAGAGGCATTTCGGGGTACCTTTTCAACGGTCAGTGAGCCTTTGAGCATTGCTTTCTCACGAATACAGAATCCTTGTCTGATACAAACGCAGGCATTTCTCCGCCGAGGTTATTTCAAGTCTGCCGCTTCCGTCGATTCGCTGAGTGATGACTCCCACTTCGCCGATTGGGGAGCCTGGATAAACAGAGAGCGGAAGACTCGGTATGTGAGAACCATCCCTTTGCCCTATCTAACCCCAGGAACCCTTTACCTAGCAAAATCATTAACATGAAGCCTCTAGAATGGGTTATATCTGGTATGTTGTAGAACAAGAAATTGGCCTCTTCCACTGTTTATCCCCAACAATCCACTTCTCGGATATGCGCAGCCCTATTCCCTCTGCGGATGAGCTCTTCTTTGCAGAGACCGAGGATGAATGGAGCGCATTGGTACAGAGCTACTGTCAGCTGGAAGGTCCAGGGAATCAGTCGCGACTGCACCCACCGTCCCTAGCGGCGTTCTACTGCATGTTCCTTCGACACGATTTTCTTGAACTGCATTGCCATGTCACCGCCTTGCAGTTGAGGTTTTTGCTGTGTGCTATTCAGACTCAAGTCACTCAGTTCGTCCAAAGTAATCGCTTTGTCAGTACAGAACAATCCTATGCCGACGAACCACATTTCGAATCAGGCAGTTTTGCATCTCTGCGGCAAGAAGAACTGCAAATCATGCTCATCAAGTGGTACATCTTGCGACAAGAGTCCTCGGCGGCGACGGCGAAACTGAAATGACCCTTGCATGCAAGTTGATTTACCATTTAGTGTGGCTGGTGCTGCTCATATGCTTTAGTGACATCCAACTCCTCGCTGGCCGAGAAGGGCCTGCTGGCGCCAAGCCACTCATACCACAATTCCCGCGATGGGTTCGATCGCCATCCTCGCTCAAGGCGCTGGCGCATGTAGGCCAAGTCCTCAAGGTCTTACAGTGTCCAGATTATGTTGTCCTGCAACCGCTCTGGTGGCCCATTGCTCTATTCCGCGTTTCGTTGATCATGTGGGCTTATGGCGTTGGATTTAAGCTCCAACCAGGCCGCATGCAACAGGCATACGACCTGGATTTTGATGCTGCTCCTCGGATATCCCTGAACGATCCCGAGCAAGATTTCGGGCCCCATGGGAGAGTGTTACGGTAAGGAGAGGGCATTCCTTGTGTTTTTCACACCACAGGATTATTGATTCCTGTCATGGAATCTTATGACGCCCTCAAACTGCGTTTGGATCTGCTGGAAGAAGGGAGACTCCAGAGTACACCTATATGTGAGGACGTATATCGCTTCTTGCAGGCCATCAGACAGTACGAGTTTCCTGGTACAAAGCCGTGATCCGGGTGGATTCCCCTGCTGCCACAACGTGGTCCCAAAATCACAAATGAAGAATGAGATTTCTGTCGCCGTCTTTGACAGAAGGGCAACACCAGGGGCTCAATCTAATTGGCTAGTCGTCCTTGTGAAAGGATCTTGTCCCCAGTTGCTGTCTATATTGAGATATTCATGCTCAAAGAGCACCGTACTCTCGATACATGCCATGGGCCTTGGCCCGCAGGTGCAAGAAGAAGACACCCGGAATTCTCCCTTGGTTTGGCGCACCTGACGTCTCGGTACTAAACCTAGACCGACAATACCAGTGGCTGAAATGACCTATCGCTCTTGTGGCAGCTTACTCATTTAGAAGTTTCCGCTATCCCCGCATTTATCAGGCGAACTCCAGGCTGGGGAAGAGCACTCCACCCCCTCCACAGCCGAACCGAACTATGGTTGGCAAAGACAAGGCTGCCACCCGCATGGCTTCATGGTCAGCAGTGCTTTGGTTGCATGTTCTGCCACTTTATTCAAACAGGCATTGCTCGAACAATTCACCATCTTTCATGAAAGATTCAATATCTATATCTGTCCCTTTCATTTGGGGATTTCTCGTTTTCAGCGCCAAGGATGTGGGCCTCGAACTTTAGTATGTTTCTGTTACTATGAAGCTATCTTTCTATGCTAGGCATTGCACTGGTTGTATATCACATCGGCTGGATCATATTTGCGATATATTCTCATCCGTTGCGACACATTCCCGGGCCATTCCTAGCACGTATCAGTCGAGCCTGGATCACCATGGCACATACTCCGTGGTGATATGGAATATGAGCAACGGAGGTTGCACGACGCTTACGGACCTCTGGTCAGGATAGCACCTGACGAGATGGCTTGCTCAGATCCCAAGGCGATCCACATCATCTATCCTATGAAATCTGCACCTCCAAAGAGTGATTTCTACAGCATGTGGCAGAACCCAAACATTGGCAACTTTCCAGACCACTTCAGTCAGCGCGACGAAAAAGTCCATGCCGAGCGGAGAAGGATTATCAGCCATGTCTATTCTCTGAGCAATATCCTCCATTCAGAACCGTATATCGATAATTGTTCCAATCTTTTCATGCAACGAATGGGGGCTTATGCGGATGCTGAGGAAACAGTGGACCTGGGAGAATGGCTTTAAATGTACGTCGCACGATATGCAAAAGTGTGAAATGGTCCTCCACTGATCGGCTCTGCGATTCTAGATATGCCTTCGATGTTGTAGGGGAGCTCTTCTTCGGCAAAATGTTTGGTTTCATGCAAGAAGGTCACGATCACGAGAACTTCATTGCTTCTCTAGACCTGCTTCTGCCATTTCTCAGCATCACCAGCGTCATTCCAAGCTATCTTCGCTCGTTTCTAGCGATTTCAGCCTTTATGTTCCGCAAAGTTCGCCGAGCTTTTGAAGCTATCGGCACCCTTGAGGTGGCGGCAAAGAACTGCGTGGCAGAACGTGCAGAGCTCTTACAGGATCCCAACAAAGGCCCACCACGGCGAGACCTGTTGCAGCAGATGTTCAGCATTCAGCAAAACAAGGGAGCTGATGTTGATTTTTATAAGAAGGATATGGCCAAGGAATCCTATTCAGTGATGTAAGTAGACAGAAGTCCGACATGTTCTAGCGAGGCTCTTCGAACTGGAAGTGGATAAGAAGTCATAGAGGTGCCACTGACTTTATTTTCCGGGGGAAAAAACAGATCCGCTGGATCTGACACGACCGCTATCGCTATGAGAGCTACCTTATATTTTCTCATGACAAATCCGCCAATCTATGCCCAACTCATGTCAGAAATCGACCAAGCAACGGCGAACGGCACCATTCCGGCCACAGGGCCAGTTGCTTACTTCCAGGCCACCAAACTGCCCCTGTTATGTGCGAGCATCAAAGAAGCCATGCGTCTCCACCCAAGCGTGGCATTGATGTTGCCTCATGACGTTCCCCCCCAAGGCCTAGTGATAGGCGACACGTCTATTCCTGGCGGGACTCGCATCAGAATGAACGCGGCCGTGGTTCAGTATGACCGATCCGTCTTCGGTGAGGATGCAAACACCTCTCGACCGACCCGGTGGCTCTTAGGCAGCACCGCGAGCATGGATCGTTGCATGCTCCGTTTCGGAGCTGGAACCAGAACTTGTCTGGGAAAGAATGTAAGGAAGCTTTTTTTGGGTTCCCAGATGTATTGCAATGGGCTCGAAAATGCTCCCCGAACTCCACTGTTGCAGAAACTCTCATCACGGAGTTGAATTTGTTTCTAAAGTGCAAAAAGACGCTGCTGACCTTGCAAGAAAAGATCTCCCTGAGCGAACTTCACAAGTTGGTCCCCGCTCTTCTTCGGGACTTCAAGCTGGAACTGGCGACAAAGGAATCGTGGAAGACGTACAATTTCTTCTTCAACACGCAAAAAGGTCTACTGGTTCGCCTGCAGCGGAGAAACATCAGCACATAGGAGACTGGAATTATTACGTTCTGAACGCCCCTGTGGAGCTTCATGTGATTTACAGAGCTTATGGGTTCTGCGGCAACCTACAATACATAATCAGTTTCGAAGACGCATTGGGGAACTGATAGGACTATTAATCTTCAATCTTTACTTCTCGACGGCCCAAGCAGACCGCCCAAGCAGACCGGGCAATTCAAGAACAAAAGAAAGTCTGATCAGTAGTGAGGAGTGGCTCTGCAACGGAGAACGATCTGCAACAGGGGAAAATGGTGGATCGCTCATTTGTCGATCTGCTAGCCTTGATGTGTTTAGCCCTAGGCAATGATTTTGGCAATCCATGTCCTCATCGCCGGAGGCTGTGAATTGATAGCAAATGGTTGCGCTGCTGACATGATTAGACACGATTCTGCTGAAACTACATAGCCCAGGCTCAAAGGCAAAGGGTTCGTTCACCCTTGGCTTGCTGGGTATGCTACCGAGCGGAGCATCAAGCCGTGGATCCACCACTTCCGAACCGATACTAATCTCGTCTCTCCCAACAACTCGAAAGGTTCCCGTCTGGCTGGCCTTTCTATTCTTTTCCTTTTTTTTTTTTTTTAATTTATGTTATTTTAGGCAGAGCTCAGACACTCAACACGAGTGATGAGCTCGTGGTATTCATTCATTCATCGCTACAAGAAACACAGACACACCAACTTCAAGTTCACCTCTCTGTCGAGTTCCGGATGTTCACTGTCAGTGACTGCAAGCAACATTGAAGTATGGGATTGACACGAGAGCAACAATGCACCGATATGCGTCCCTCGAACGCGAAAACGCCGACTGGGACGCGATGGCAACGCTGTTCACACCCAACGCGGTGTACCGTCTACCCAACGGGATCGCGGTGGACCCCAAGCGAAATGGTCGAGGTGGTCCAGGGCAACGAAGCCAAGTATATACGCCACCACGTTACGACGGTAGACATCATCTTTCTGAGCGAGTCTGAAGCACACTCCGAGGCGTTTTATTTGGCAGTGACGGACCGAGCGAGTCCAGACCACTGGGGCATGTGGAAGGACGTGTTTCGATGGCACCAGCAGGACCAGGCTTGGCTCATTCAGGATCGTACGATTCATGTCGATGGCGCTGCCCAGGGTGGGTGGTATGCGACGGTCTATGTCATGCTAGCGGCGACCGGGGGTAGTTGAAATGGTTCCACAACAGCGACCTGTGAGACCAGAACATCACGGGAACAATTTCCCGCTTGAGAGATGCCTAGTCATTTGTTCCCGAAAATCTGAGTTGAGTCCAAAAAATGTGGTCTCGGAGTCGCAAAATACGCTGGGTTTTCGTTGGTACCGACTGGGCTAAACTTTAGTTCAAGTATTATTGTGAAGCGTTATTAAGTTGAGTATCGAGAGCAGTCCCGTCGTCAATCATTTCTCTCTGTAACTGAAGATGGTAGCATGATTCGCAATATACCTTGCGAATGGCGGAGGTAGTTTTCGGACCCTATTCTGGAGCAAAGAATTAGACTGGATGAGTTTATTTCCTGCGCACTCGATGGGATCGATTCGCTACCCAAGGAACCGGGGTTCTGGACCGGTAGCCTGACTGTCACCGGCAGACTCTCGAGTAGTCGGGACGCAAGTGGTGGGTCCCTTGCAGGGCAGGAAGGCTTCTTTTCTGAGCACCTCCAGTAGTGGCGGTGGCCTAGTGGAAGTAGAGGAACGACGTTCATCAGTCATTGACCAGATGACTTCGATTATAACCTCATTCGAAGCTGCATCTACTCAGTACTTGACAAACAATGAAGGAAGGAGAATAGATCTCCCTCTTGAGTGCATGTCCTCTGCTTTTCCATGGCTCGTTAGGCTACAGGACCAAAAAGATACAAGCGGCATGGATTCTTCAACACCAGTTCTGATCGCAGGAGCGGGACCTACAGGTCTCTTTCTGGCGTTTCGCCTAGCCCGGTCTGGAATTCGGACTGTTGTCTTTAAACAAGACGCCAAGCTCCATCCAACCCCTCGTGCATTGGGATACTTTGGTCCGACACAGTTCGCTCTTCAGCATGCAGGAATCTGGGAAGAAGTTCGAGACCAAGGGTATCTTCTCAAGGGCCTGTCTTGGAGGAGACCAACTCAAGAGACATCTCCGGAAAGCCGAGACTGGGGAGACCTGATTACATCCTGGGATCTGACCAGAGGATTAGCCTCGAGGGAGGGGGAATGCGGCTATGGCATGACAATACTAGGACAGAATCATTTGAGAGAGATCATCATGCCCAAACTGAGCGCCTCGGGGCTTGCCCGGGTTTATTTGGGTCATAAAGTTTGTTGATGTGAGCCAGGAGGACAATTCAGCGAGTGTGAACGTGACGGTCATCGACCGTCAAGGTGGCCAGCGTTCATTTGGGGGGTCGTATTTGGTGGCTGCTGATGGAGGAAAGTCAACAGTACGCAAATTGCTCGGATTGACCCTTGACGGTATCACTTGGCCTCAGGTCCTGGTGGCGACGCACACGTGGGTTATCATCCCCATTCCCGGCGATGGTCCTCCTTTTGTGTACATTGTTGACCCAGTCGATTGGACCCTATTCAGCCCAATCCAAAAGCCTCGTGAGCATGGACCCACCTACTATCGTATTACTGTACCTATGGCTCCCGAGCAGTGTGAGCCGGACGTTCTCGACCGGAATCTAAAACAGAAATTGGAAAGGTTGCTTCCTGGGCCCACGACCAGCCAAGTATGAGGTGATACGGTCGCAAAGGTACGAGACCCATCAACGAATTGTACCATCCATGCTCTCTGGGAGATGTATGTTGATCGGCGACGCGGCGCATCTGAATAACGTACGTTGGCCTCAATGGTCTGTTTCCTCCTTGCAGGTGCCTCCAAAGGAAGCACTTCGCCCTGGCCATGAATGACCATATGTGAGATAATTGCTGACGGAATGAATGCAGCCCTGGGGAGGATTAGGTCTTAGCACGGGGCTGCTTGATGCAGACTCACTGGCCGACGCTCTGGCGTATGTCATACGACAAGGTGTATCAACCTCAATACTTCGGCGCTGGGCTGATGCGCGGAGGGAAGTGTTTCTGAAGCTCGTCAACCCCATCTCTTCGGCGAACAAGCTTCGCTGTCATGATACAAACCCGGACAATCCAAACTCAGATCCCTTCTTCAAGATGCTAAGAAAGGAAGACAACGAGCAAGAGCTACAGGATGTGATGTCGGCAATGTCAGAAATGGCTACAGATGTGTCGCAATTCATAGATTCTCCGTACTTGTAGTTGGGTTTTAAAAGCGGCATGCTTAATAGAGCTGTTAACTGACCGAGGAGCTTCCGAGTGGTTTGTCTGTTGCTGAAGTCGCCAAGACATTAAAGCAGCGATGGAAGCTAGCCCCGACTCGCGAGCCACATGGAGTTATTTTCCAAACGCTGCTGAACAACTCGCAGATTGTCAGGCCATGATCAGTTGATCACCTTCTCGTTTGTGCGTCAACTTTGGACAACATCGAGTGCGTGAAAGACAGTGTCCATAGTATGGAATGTCGCAATGAACATCACAGAAGAATTCTCGCTTTCCGCAAGCCATCTGAGCACCAAGCCAGAGTTGCCCAACGGCTCGTCGCTCAGACCACTCGCGGCTATGATGAAATTCTTCGCATCAGTTCACTGAAGATGAGTGAGCTAGAGGCGTCCGAGAGAACCAGTCTCACCGACTTATCTATCTCGCCGCAATTTTCATCCCCATATCGGTGTCTTCAAGAATCTTGGTCTACCAAAACGTATTTCATTGGTTGGTTGGCCAATCTATGACTTTGTTAGCCTGGCGATGATTCTCTCAACTCTAGTCTTTGCCGGATTCTACTTGAAGGGCCGCTTGGATTCGGATGCGGAGCTCATCCGCGTCCTCTTTGGATGCCTCGAAAGCAATGCATCCTGCCTGAGATAAAAGAGAATTACAAACAAATCAGGGAGATGGTAGAAGCAGCAAAGAGGTAGACGGCACTATACTTGATTATCAGCGTCGCTTTCCTCGTTGCCTCTTTCCCTGTTGGCATGATCAAGGACAGCGACCTAGGGCCTTGGATGCAGGGCTATGGAATATGCCCGTTGGGGATACCGATCATTCTGGTCGTGGCTTACATGAATTTGGGCCTGGCTTTTGCATGGTTGAAAATTTTCCACGCTGTCGGAGAATCACTCTGAGGATCTGTGACAGAACGAGCTCCAGGTTGCGAGATTGCCACCTAGCTAGCCGTTGCTAGTTTGAGCGCGATGCAAAAACAGGGCATCTCGCAGGATCGACATATGCTATCAACCATCTGGACACAGTTCACAGTTTCACAAGACCAATCGGGATATGGACTTAGATCTCGGAAATAGACTAAAGAAAGGCTTCAGGAAGTGGCCGGACATGTTCTGAGTACAACTTTCGCCGTACATACACCAAAACCCCAAGATCATCACGATCATTGCAATATCCATGCATCACGCAACTGGACGCTGACCCTGACGATTAAGCCCCGCAGCTCTATATTTTCCTTCTGGCGCTTGAAGTGCTGGGACCAACCTTGGAAATCAGGTATTAGCATACAATGACATTGGGTCCTTGATATCGCATATAGGACAAGACTTCGAAGATCCACCTAGTTTTTGGCCTTTTTCTCTCTTTTGCCTTTTTCTTGGCTCGACGAGGCTGTTGGATTTGACTTCCACTTACTTTGGGGATCCCGAAACTTTCCCTGGCTAGTCTGACTGTTACTCCCTCTGAATGTGGTGAAATGCAACATTCAATTTCCTTTGGTCACCGTGCTGGTGGCTTGTTGTGGATAGGATTCACAAGAAACTAGAGCTCCATGGGATCATCACCCTTCTATAGGAAAACACAGGCTATAATAGCAAGGGAAAAAGAGTACCTCGAAGAGCGGCGACGGAGTTCCTCTCCCCGATAGACTCGAAGATGTCTTCGCATCCGGTAGAAGAAGATATCGACTCGACGGTCGCGGATCCAGATTTTCGCATCGTCACAACATTGAAGCACACGCTGTTCAACGCCCGAGACGTCAAGTCGCAGGAGGAACCGGCGTCGTACCGCGCACTGATACGGCAGTGGAGAGAGGTCAACAGGGAACTTCTCGCGCTGCATGCACGCCGTCTCCGTGAGGCTGCCGACGCTTTCGGCTGGGCGGACGTCGCGGTTAGGTTTTCGTCCCCGGCCGCCGCGGGCGAGCGAGAAGGAAATGGTGATGGCGAAGGGGACGACGCGCTGATACCGTCAGGGGCAGAGGGACCTATCAATCTAGAGTTCCTGGTCGAGGACGCCGCCGCGAAATCTCAAGGAGACTCCTCCTCTCAAGGCCCTGGCGTAGGGTTCCTACGAGACCTCCGCGTCCGAGTCCTAATATCCCGCGATGGGGATGTGACTGTGCAATGCACGCCGATGGGGGCGGATCAGCCTCTTTCGACCCTGGCTCGCTCTCTTGACATGTACACATCATGCCCTTTCACGGGGCCGGCTGTCCTTGGACAAAAGGAACAACAACGACAATCAGCAGCCGTATCACCACTATGCGAGGTCTCGGTCGACGCCCAACACACACACGTGTCCGTGTTCACACGGCACAAAACCACACATCGGAAGCCCTACGACGACGCCCGCGCGCGTGTCCCCGCCCCGCCGCTCCTCCCAACCACGCCGCCCACCGCGAGGGAAGTGCTCCTTTCCAACAGCAACGCGCAGATCACCGAGGCGTCGCTGTCGACGGTGTATTTCCCGCGCGGCGGTGGCCGCTGGCTGACGCCGCGGTCCGCGTGCGGCGGCATGCAGTCCGTGACAAGGCTCTACGCGCTCGCGGCGGGGTGGTGCGACGAAGGAACCGTACTGGTCCACGAGGTGCGGGATGGAGAAATGATCTGGTTGAGTAATGCCGTAAGAGGCTTCTTTCCTGGCGTGGTGAAGCTCGGTGGTCAAGGTGCACGGGGGAGTACTTGACTTTTTACTAGAAAATGGACCAACGAGGCGGGCTCTCTTCTGCTCTTCCTCTAGTCAATGGGCATGAGTACATCCTCACGAAAACAATCAATGCCATGCTCTTGTTCTAGATCGTAATCATCCTTTGCAAATCTCGAACTCCGAGTCATGCTCTACTTCATACCGAGGCGCACCATCTATCGTATTCCCTCTTTTGGCGCCCTGAATCTCATCGCAAGGGGATTTCTTTCTTTGGGCCGTTCTCCTTTGCTGTACTTTTATCCGTTCCTGCACCTGCTTTAACCGTCTTCTGATCCGCCGGGACCCCTCTAAACAGCAGCCCTTTCCTGCTGAAAAAGTCATGTACCACCTCTTCGCTCACCTTTTTCCTCCTCTCCTGAAAATCGCCCACGTATTGCTGCAACTCCTTGATGCAGATCGCCTTGATCTCCCCGGTCATCATTTCTCCCTTCTCATATTGCTCCTTGATTTTCGCTAATTCATCATCATCCTCCAGGAAGAAGGTGAGGTATTTGTACGGCACGTCGACATCGGTTCTCCCGCCCAGCTCACGCTGCTTCTCTGCGGTATCCTGCCCACCGGAGAACGCGAAACGGTTGATCTTCTTCTTGATTGCGTTGGCTGTGTCTGTTAGGAATATCGCAGAGGAATCAACGCTGGCGGACATCTTTGTGCCTTCGCCCTGTAAAGCGGGAAGAAAGCGGGAGTGAATGAGACATGGTTTCTCGTATTTCATCTTCTCTGCTATATCTCGACAAACACGGAAATATGGATCTTGGTCGATTGCGCAGGGGATCAGGCAGAGGATCCTCGGGACGGCCTTGGCATCTGTGCCAAAAATATGTGGAAAACTTGTTGCAAATGAGGGTGCAGATTGGGTTGCAGGGAAATGGAATTCACCAATGTTGTTGCTGTCATTGAATCCAAATGCTCCTTTTATCTGGTTGAGCGTGATGTGTTTGGCTGCGAAGGATACGTTGCGGTAGAATGCACCGCCCATGTACTCAAAGTCTGAGAAGATAAATGTCTTTTTGGGGTCGAAGCCCAATGCAATGATGTCCTTTGCATTTTCTCTTGCGTACCGAGTTGCATCATCCATGCTGATGGTTTTGGAGTGCATGAACTTTTCGTCGTCTGTCAGTTGGATCACCAGAGGGCAGTCGAAGACTTCCTGCAGCCAGCGAGTGAATTCGAAAGGGACGCTGTGTCCGACATGCATGCTGTCACTACTGGGCCCTCTGCCAGTATAGAGGTAGAATCTTTCGCCCTTTTCGTATCTGCTCAGGATCTTTTCGAGTTCGCGGTGCGATATCACTATCCCGCGGCGCATAAATCTGTGGGGTTTCCTGCCAGTGGTTTTTTCGAATCTCTCGAGCAGTTCGGGCGAGATAGGCGTTGCGCCGAAGTCGCGGATCAATTTGTCGTAGTCGACGGGTTTTATGTGGCCAGACTCGTCGACGCCGCCGGAGACTTCGAAGGGGGTGATTTTTTGTTCTGCCATGGCGGGTGAGGGGTTAGAGAGGTGAATGTGGGAAACGAGCGAACTGAGACAAAGGGTGAGGTGTGGGAGTAGGATGCTCGGTCTTTAGAGAATGTCCGGCAGTGGAGACAGGTTTACGATGAGGTCTCAAGACAATGGCTGGTGCAGTTGGGGGTTGTTGGTGTATGTGTGGATTTGTGACTGTGAACGCGGCATGACTCTTCAATTTCCCCAAGCTGCGGTGACAATGGCTGTCCAATGTCATGCCGCCATCGGATATCATTTCCGTGCTCCACAATTCGCTGACCAACGAGCCAAGCAATTCTCTCTGTTCTCTCCTCTTCTTTTCGGCCGAATGTGGCAATTGGGCTTGAGAGCTCGCGTGAGGGCCAAAAACTCGCCATCTCCTTTCTCTCCTCATTATACGCCTTAACCATCAGCGGTTTCTTTGGTTCAATGTCTTCACGCCAGGATGAAATTCTACGAGCACTCTTTTAACTACGACTACACCTTCCCTGCCGTCACCTTGGCCTATTTCCTGCGCTATCCGAACCCATATTCCAGGCACGTCCTCAGCTCAGACGTAATCGATCGCTACATCGATCCAGAAACGGGTCGACTGCATACTGTGCGACTACATCTGAAAAGATCAAAAGTCCCCGCAGGCATCCTCAAGTTCCTTCCTCGTGGCCTTGCCGGCCCAGGCGGCGCCAGTCAGAGCTATGTGCTAGAGAAGAGTACCATTGACATCAAGGAAGGATGGATGGAAACAGAGTCAAAAAATATGGAGTGGACAGGCATCCTGAGCGTCGTGGAACGGCAAACGTATAAGCGGCAACGGCTGGCCGAAATAGCGTCCTCAAATCGATCAGGCGATGAGCTCCAACCACAAAGAGACAAGGAGACAACCGCCTGCAGGACGGTTGTGACGTTCGTATCACACCTGGGCCACGGCAAGCTATTGAGTCGGAAAAAACAAGAGCACGCGGCAAATACTGAAGAAGAACCACCGAAACAAGGATTGTTTGCTGCATGGTCGACAGTTGGCATTCAGCGGACCATCGAGCTGATTGGAGTCAAACGAACCCAATCCGCGCTGGTGAACGGAAAGGAGGGGATGAACGTTGTGTTGGAAAGACTAAGAAATGGCGGCATCGTGGGTGTTCTCGAGGGAATGAGAAGGGATCGATTGGAAGTGTCGCGGGCAGACGGACATTGAAAACATGCGCCTTGTTTCTCTGCTGATGACCTGCATTTGAGCAGCCTCAATTGCAAGCCTCAATTCGATTTGTACTACTAACCTCATTGTTTGATGATTGTGAGCCTGGCGTTGGGGAGATGTGCCTTCTCATGTTTGGAATGGATGGCGTACTTTTAAAACAACGGGGATGCGCTGTACCATGGTGGTCGATGTTGATAGGTATCCAATTCAGTCCGCTCATCCCTCCAGTTTCTCCTGCCTCGTGGGCTTTGCAGCTGGTGAGTTTGAAACGTGCAGTAAACGTCACGGCGTCTGCATTTGTGGCCGTTCTTGGTGAGCTTCACAGATCTTCGCTCTTGTCTTCATTTCCTGCTGACTTGCTGCGCCTGCTGGCACTTGCACAGGCTCTTCGCACCCGCCTTCTGATAAGCTTGAAGCAGGAGAAGTGAAGCATTGCATTCACTCATTCTTTCTTCCGACCTTCTCCTCTTGGCGAAAGAAAATATGTCAGAGGTCTTTGTCCGAGTCGCTCCTGCAGCTCAAGGCCTCCCCTGTTCGGCGTACTCATCTTCCTTTCCTCCCTTCATCTCAGTCACTCGTTCACTAAATAGTCGTTCGTTTTATCGATTATCGATTCAACAAGACAACAGATATTGGCCAGCACCGCTACTTCCCATTTCTGGTCATTCTTTCCAAGAGTCGTGGCGTTATGGTCGCAGTCACCCCGATCCTGTGGTTGACAACCATCATTCTACTGGGCTTCGTCAAAGGATCGAACTCGGCTCGTCGCTTTGATCGCCGCAGTGACCTTGACTATGTCCCTCCCATCAACGCCTCGGCCGCCGCTGGTTGGGCAGTACCTCTTCAGGGCAGCAACACCTGCGACCCTAACAAAGCTTGTAACCATCATCCAGCGAACCCGAGTCGTCATTCACTGACCGTTCCAGGTACGGATTCACTGTCACCTCCACCTTCGGGCAAGCCTCTTCAATATCTTGCAATCGCGCGTGGTCTGTACATGTACCTGTGCCCTGGTGGTGACCCCAGCGAAGACGCCAAATTCCAATCTCAATCCACGCAACTCTACGATGCAGCACCTCTTATTCAGAATCTCCCCAACGAAGAAGCCTTCCATGCGCTCCCCGCCAAACTCCACGACTTCGACTACGAGCAGGTAAAGAATTCAACGCTGGAGTGCTTGGGAACCATCGGAACTGTCAACGACACAGCCATCGTCACCCTGTTCGACATTGCAACGTTCGAAGCTCTCCCGTATGAATCAGTGCTGCCACTTGATGACCATGGGACCAATGGCAGGTGGGCACATTCAGTGAGCCTCAAGAGGGATTGGGATATCTACCGTGTTGAAGTTGCTGGAGGCACTCCGCCTATTTGTGACAATACACGATTCATGGCAGAAGAAGAATACACGGCAGAGTACTGGTTCTTTTACTCCGGGGGAGAAGATCTGTGGACACCAAACGATATCAAGAGAGAAGAACTAGTTGATCCTAATGATATGCCGGCTTTCATATGAAGACATGGACAGAATTGAATGAGAAGATACCGATGGACGGAATCAGCAGCATAGCATGTGAATGAAACGTTCGAAGATGATTGCAAGCAGACTCCAAGAACATGAGGCCAGATTTTAAGAGAGACGAGAGGATCCTGACAGTGTGTGAGAAGGCGGATGGTCCAAGAAATCGAGGGCCGGAGTTTGTCTCCCATTCCATTTTATTTCGTTTCATATCATGGCTAGGAGAGGACAGGATTTTACTTTTTCAATAGGCTAGGGACTGGTGCTTGAATCCGGTGAATGACCATAATCATGAATACAGTGTCTCGTCCATATCACTTTTCGGTGACAAAACTCCATAAAAGTCCTCCTCGTCGCCACACACTATCGCGGTCAAGAGGCGACAAGGCTGTCTCTTCTACCTAGCAGTACCGAGTAGGATTGCTAGTACTAACGACCACCAATTTAGCGTGCTTTACCCCGCCAAAGGGGAGAGTTTCCGGTTGGGGTAACTTAAGCGGACGGCTGTCCGTCATCATAGCACCACGGACCTACAGCGCCCCCTCCGGCCCCCTCGTCCATTTTCGCCTCAATCCTCATCCTCATCCTCATCCTGCGCCCTCAAACGCCCACACGATCACTTACCCCCTTCACCAAATCTTCGAATCTGATCTTCAAATAACTACAAAAGGCCTTGCCACTGGGCGCCTGAACCCTAAATCCTCGATATCCGCGTCCCTCATCGAGTACGGCGTGTGTAACCCGTTCAAACCTCACGCCACCTTGCCGCCAACGAAAGACGCAGGATCTCCACCCTCACGTTTAGAACTGATTCGTCCCTTGAGATGCTCAACCACCAGTTCAGCGATTACTGGTGACACCAATCTGTGTATCCATATCCCAAGCGACGAACTCGAGAAACCCATACCGGACACTTCACGGTAGGCAGAGTGCTTCTCTGCCTGCCAACCCTCATCCTCCACCATGTCGTCGGCCATCAACGACGACGAGCTCTCTATTTCCCTCCCACAGACCAATTCCAGCCGCTCAAAACCGTCCCTTCCTTCTGTCGTCTCTCCTCCCGCACGCTCCAGCTTGAGTCAGACCCCGATGGCAGAGTCTCCAGGCACTGCCCGCGCCGCGCAACGACTACATCAGTACGCTTTTGTCCGTAATATCGGCGAAGGATCATTTGGGAAAGTCAAGCTTGCTAGACACAAAGTCACCGGTCAAGAGGTTGCGATGAAGACTATCAGTCGACGCAAATTGATCAGTCGAGACATGGCAGGCCGGATAGAGCGGGAGATCCAATATTTGCAACTCCTACGTCACCCACACATTATCAAGCTCTACACCGTCATCACAACTAAGACAGACATCTACATGGTGCTGGAATATGTTCCTATGGAGCTTTTCGACTACATCGTAAAGCATGGTCGGCTGGGAGAAGCCAAGGCACGGAAGTTGTTTCAACAGATCATCTGCGCCGTCGAATATTGTCATCGCCACAAAATCGTCCATCGAGATCTTAAACCGGAAAATCTCCTCCTTGACAAGAATATGAATGTCAAGATCGCCGACTTTGGTCTCAGCAACATTATGACAGACGGCAATTTCTTGAAGACGAGCTGTGGCAGCCCAAACTATGCTGCGCCTGAAGTTATTGGCGGAAGGCTCTATGCTGGCCCCGAAGTTGATGTCTGGAGTTGCGGCGTCATCCTCTACGTCTTTCTTGTCGGGAGGCTTCCATTTGACGACGAGTTCATCCCTGCACTGTTCAAGAAGATTCAGGCCGGTACCTTTCACATTCCATCACAGACTCCGCCGGGCGCGGTAAACTTGATCAAGCGATGTTTGCAAGTACATCCGGTCCATCGCATCACCATTCCCGAAATCCGGCAAGACGAATGGTTCATGAAAGATCTCCCTGCTTATTTGGTTGACCCCGTTGAGGAGTTTCTGGATACTGGTGTCGACCCAGCCAAAGCCATCGACCCTCGCCAGCTGGCTCCTGGAAAGCCACTCGACGTGGTTGAGAAAATCCATGAGCAGGTAGTTGGCAAGCTTGGCCGTACGATGGGTTACGCAAAGGAGGATGTCAAGGATGCTCTGAGTAAAGACGAGCCAAGTGCGATCAAAGACGCGTATCTCATAGTCAGAGAGAACCAGTTGATGATTAGCACTCCTCAATACCGCACAGACAACCCAGAACTGGAGTCATTTATGGCTTCCTCACCTCCTGTCGAACCGAATTATCCCAATTTCCCCGGATCGCCGCGGCGATTCCCGGATAATGATGTCAAGCCTCTCACTCCAAGCCGCACAGACGCCCACCGAGCCAGTCGATCGTTATCTGAAACTCCATCTTTACTAAGAGAAGAGGAGAAGCCTAGGATCTCGAATGTTCGGGTGCTAAACACGTCACTGCCTCACGTCCATGAAGAACTCCTTCAGATTCGTGAAAAGGCCAAGGCTCGCGGTGAAGACCCAGACATGATTCTTCATCCAACACAAACTCAAGATCAGAAGGACGAAGCCGAAAGTCCCATCCCCGAGGAAATTAAGGATGAACACGGGAACCCCATTTATCGATCCAAAGAGGAACAGGAGGCCACGTCAAGGGCGTTGAAACCACACTCGCGCTCTGTGACCGCTTTGAATTCCTTGCGAGACCCGAAAGCTCGGCCCGAAGGTATGACGACTCTACCAGCCGATGAAAACCGCCCACCAGCTTCGAAAACAAAGCCCAGACGTTGGCAGTTTGGGATCCGCAGTCGAAACCAACCCTGGGAGGCCATGAAGTGCTTGTATGCCGCTCTCCAGGCTCAAGGTGCTGAATGGGAAGTCAATCCATGGCTGCGGCCGGAGTCGATGCCAGACGGTGAGGACGAGAAGGACGGCATTCCACCGCCTCCGCCGGAACTAGAGCCCGGCCAACGCCATGAGATTATGCAACAGCGGTTTTCATTCGTTGGCGACGACTACTACATACCACGAGACCCATACAATATTCGTGCAAGAATCTTAAAGAAGGGATTGCTGATGCCCGGTGAAGCACCATCGCTGTCCGCTCACAGTTCGGCAGTCAGTTTGCCGGCAGAAGCACAGAACCAGCTCAAGAAACACATCGAGCAGCTGGGATACGCCTCGGAGGATGTCAAACAAGTGCTCGGCATGAACTCTCCCAACGGAGGCCAAACATATGCAAAGACACCAGCAAGTAGCGGACACACCACGAGACAGAATACTGGAGGCGAGCCGGCCGGCCATAGCTTGGATGCTTTTACTGGCCCCGGACAAGTGTCCATGAGCAGACCTGACAGTCTCTCTGCGCTCAACAAGAAGATCCCAAGCGAGCATATTGGAGTTTGGGTATTCATTGACATTCAACTGTACACCATAGAGCAAGGGACGTTTGTTGTGGATTTCAAATGCGATGGATACCAGAATGTCATTTGGCATGACGCGAAGAAGGAGCGAGAGAAGAACAAGACGCCCACCAGCAGCAGCACAGTCACCAGTCCGACAAACAGCAGACCCACTAGTGGTTTTGGAGACATCAGTCACGCGAGCTCTGATCGGCTCGATGAAGAGGGTGCAGAGGGCTACTGGAAACCGGTCAGCAAGCGCTATAAGAACGTGGAAAAGGAGATCTCCAGTCCCTATCCTTACCTCGATGTGGCCAGTGACTTGGTGGCTCAACTAGTAAGTCTGAGTGCTAAGGCTGCGCAACGGTCCTGACTGACTCTTAGTGGGGTGGCGCTGCTTGAACTTCTCTGTCTCTTTTCTTTCCCGCCTCTAAGCGGATGTATACGACTTCATGATGGGGACGATATTTGTAGGAGCAAAAGGTGCAAGTGCATAGAAAGCAGGGAGTTCTGACGGAGAGACCATGGGATAAGCCACAAGACCTACAGGTTGTCGCTGGTCAGCTGGAATAGGTGCACGGGACTAAGGCGTTGCCGTATCGCACCGATAGGAAAGAGCTCAGAAGCATAATGACAGGGACTTACCTGGAAAATAAAAGGGCGAAATGCATGGCCCAACTTAGATAGCCATGAGGTAGCCATAACCACTCAATTCATGGAGTGAGAGTCAATGTCCGTTCTCATGACCACTTAGGACTCCAAGAGTACTCCCCACGTCTATGTTCGAGTGCAGACTGGGTCTCATTTGGACTATGGAATACCAGTTCAAAGACCCGTCTAGTTCCACACGCTCCAGGACCGCGGATCCTTCCTCAAAGAAGCATCAGATGCCGTTGAGCCGCAAATCTTCTCGAAGGAACGGTCCCGCAGGCATCGTCCTGGTACAGGCTGATGCAACAATGATCAGGAGGTTGATCTGGATCGTCTCGCATCGTTTCAAACGTGAAGTCAGTCCGCTCCCGTGGGAACCAGCTCCAAAGCATTGGAGGGAGAATCCGGATTCCCTGGTTCCGCCCACGTCTCCGGCACGGTCGGGCACTTTGCGTTTTATGGTTCTCTTCTCCTTCAGCGTCACGAGCTCGGTGTCGGGCGCCGGGGTGCAGACTCCAGTTGAAGAACTCAATGTAGGGCGGATCGGGGACGCTAAACGCCCGTCCACTGGTGTCTTTGAGACCGGTAAGTTCGTTCGTGGATTTCCACGCGTTCAGAGGGAGTCGTAGATCGCGCGGACGCCGTCAACATCGCCTTGCGATATGTCTGTGTTGCAACCAACCGCTGCCATCGTCGGCTTTTGTGAGGGTACTGCATCACGCTGGCTATGTCATCGTCGCCTTTCTGGTACCGAGAGATCGGCGAGTTGTTGAATTGGTACAGCAAGCTGCGGCATGCGGACTCGGATCCTCACTGCTGTCGGCCAATGTGGTTGATGTGATGGTGCAGCCCTCCTGAACTTTGGTTAGCAGCGCAGAACAGTGAAAGTGGACGCATTTCTCGCGATTCGAGATGGCCGTGCTCATGCCTGAGCCCGAGCTGATGACCCCATTGGTGGCGATAGTGTCGCCCCATGTTGTCCCATTTGGGATCGAAGTTGATTTGGAGGTGTCCCTGTCCGCCACTCCCTAGCGCCAGGTTACTGTAGCACCCGTCGTCACCGATTTAGGCATCACGACATTCTCCTGAGTTTAGGGGCTGTTGGGGTCCTTAATGAAGGTAATGTGAGGGCTATACCTTCTTCAAAGATCGAGCGCCTCGTTCATCGGACCCGAGTGCTTTTCCTCGGCCGCGTCCGACTCGCACTTGTAGTGGATGATTCCGTCTAGCCAGACAGAGGAGGATCTGACGCCGTTCCAACCCTTGTGTAGGGGCATGCTGCCGGGTTGAAAAATGAGCAGATATGCTTTAGAGCTAAACAGGATATCATCATCTACGATGGCCTGCCCATTCTGATCGACAAAGTATGCTATATTGTGACGTTTGCCAATGGCCGGGTCGACTATGGTGACGGTTGTCAGATCCTTATCCAGGGAGGTGTAGTTGAAACTGCTGGCTGGGGGAGGTGGTACGTTGGTCACAGTACGCCCGGTGGTGGTTGAAGTGGGCTCCTCGGTGGCAATGGAGACTGATATTGAGGCCACAGATACATCCTGAGGGACTGGTTCAGGGGAGCACACATGAGCCAAAGCAGGAGAAAATTTATAGAGAATTTTACAAGAGCCATGATGGGGAGCACTTACCAGGGATCTTTGCACTCCAGGCTGTCAAAGGGTTATGGCGACATTTAACACTTGTCTTGCCCCCCTTGACGCACTTGACATCCGAACTGTTCGGTAGTGTCCATAATGGATCATGAGATGAGTAGACTCTCAGGTCGCTGGAATGTGCAAAGAGCTGGGTGGCCCGTTTTACCAGCACCAAGTCGCATGATCTCTCGTGCGCACAGAAGAGTGCTCAAAGCTGAACTGCAGCGAAGAAGTTGATAGCTGCCCTATCACGAACCCATACTTGTTACAGACGTGACTGTCTAAGTGCGATCGCTATTGGTCGCCACGTTCAGCACTGCAGCGTCGACGGTGTCAGGCCAACAGGCCATCAGGTGAGAGCATCATATAAGAAGAAAGGGATTGAGACACAAAGCTGAGATTATGGGAATATCTCAGCACATATATTGCCGTTGACCGTGCCGCTGCTCCGTGTTGCGTCGGTGCACTACTTCTTCAGGATACTTGGTGAATTCATTAAAGGCCAATCCCACGTCCTTGCCAAAGAACCAGTTCCATGCTTCGGCGCGTTTGGTAATGATAGGTGAGCAGGCGTCCCTCCATGTAGAAACGCGTGTTGCGCATAACCACTTAACGCGGCCCGCGCGTACCTGGTATCTAGTCCGAGTCAGGTGCTTGCCAAGGCGCTAGTCAACGGCACTTCTATTTTCCGGAGTCATTTGGGCAGCTGACGAGTCAATTACCACTTCGTCCATCCTCAATATTCACGACCGACAGAAGCCGTTAAGAGAGCACACAACAATTAAGCATAGGACTGGCTGTTTCCAAGACCACGGTCTTTGACTGAAACATACAAACTAGCACAGACATGGGCCTCACCTCAAAGCTGAGGTCTTGGTCGCAGGAGCTCACCCCGTATTTTCTCTACCTCCTCCTGGTAGCAACACTTGGACCGCTGCTCTTTGGTTATCATTTGGTATGGCTTCTTGTCTTCTGATAGCCCATCCCAGGCATTGTAGTGCTTAAAACCCCTGCTAAATCCATTATCAAGGCTGAGCTCAATGCTCCTCAAGAGGTCATCACCTGCGCCGCGAAAGCAATCAAATCTAAGAAGAGCCCGTCATCAACACTGGGCGGACTACCACAATGCATTCCCATGAATTCAACTCAACTCGGGCTTGTCTCGTCCATTTTCACCCTTGGCGGTCTAATCGGTGCTCTCGCGGCCGGACCATTGTCGGCGCGCTATGGCCGTCTGCGTACCATGCGCGTCAATACCTTTTTGCTTGCGCTTGGCCCTCTCGCTGAAGCCCTAGCGCCCAACATTGGCGTTCTCTCGGCGGGACGCTTTATTTCCGGTCTGGGTGCAGGCGTCTCGGTGGTGGTGGTGCCCATCTATATTTCCGAAATCGCCCCTCCCAAGGAAAAGGGCTTTTTTGGTGCCTTCACGCAAATCATGACGAACATGGGTATCTTCACCACTCAGCTCCTAGGCTACTTCTTGAGCCATGGACAAATGTGGCGTATCATCCTGGCGGTTGCGGGCATGATTGGTGTCTTGCAGTTTGCTGGACTGGCGTTCTCAGTGGAGAGTCCCAAATGGCAGGCTGCTCATGGAGAGCCGAGACAAGCCAACGGCAATCTGCGGCGTATCAGGGGTCAGAAGGCCGACATTCAGGAGGAGGTGGAAGGCTGGATAGTCCAGGATTTTGATGAAAGACACGGTTCGTGATCTATATCTTGTTCAGTCGATATGTCTAACCCTTGAGCAGAAGAAGAACGAACACTACTAACAAGCTCTGACCACGAGCCGCACATGGACAGCAACACGTCTTCAAGAGACAAAGCGCCAGAACCCATGGGAATTATAGCGGTGCTCCGAGACCCGATAAATAACCGCGCCATCCTTGCGGTTGTCGTGGTCATGATGGCCCAGCAACTCTGCGGAATCAACAGTATCGTCATGTACGGCGTGTCTCTACTCGCAGAGCTACTTGCATCCAACTCCGCCCTGCTCAATATTTTTGTGAGCATACTCAACATTGCCGCCACTACTGGCTTCGCACCCCTTGCCGATGTGCTGGGTCGTAAACCATGTATCCTCACATCCATCGCCGGTATGGGGGCCTCGTCTATCCTCCTCGCCATCGGAATACGCGGTGCAATCCCTGTCCTTTCCGCAATTGCGGTGCTTCTGTTTGTTGCCAGCTTTGCCTTTGGCCTAGGCCCCGTGCCTTTTATCCTGGCCTCAGAACTTGTCGGGCCCGAGGCAGTGGGAGCAACTCAATCATGGGCGTTGGCAGCAAATTGGATTTCGACATTTATCGTGGCCCAGTTCTTCCCAGTGGTGAATGAGAAGCTGGGGAAGGGTGTGGTGTACTTCGTATTTGCAGCCATTGCGGCTGTTTCCTTTGTGTTCGTGGGCTGGTATGTGCCTGAGACGAAAGGAAAGAAGGATGCCGACGAGGTCTGGGGAAGGCCCCCTAGGAGGGAGGATTGAGATGTCTAGAAAATTATATCGACAGCCGGGAAAGCTCAAGATCAAATTTGCTCTGCTGAAGGATTCTGGAGAATTTTCCTTCTTTGGGCACATATTGTACTCAAAATACTATCGGGCGATTCAAGCGCTCCCTCCTCAGCGGTCCACGATATGTCGGATGCCGGATTGACTCCCTTGATGAAGTGAGCACGCAATATCTCAGTTGAGCGCTACCATCCCAGTAGCAACCGCCTCAGCGGCCCCAGATCATAGGAGCAAAGAGAGCATGTTACGCAGAGGAATGGACGAAGTTCACCGAGAAAGGACTTCCCTCAGCTCGAAGTACATATGCTATTTTGGTTCCTCTTATAGCGACACATCAGCTCTACTTTATGCCACAAGAAGTCATTCGGATTAAGGCATACCAGCGCGTCGCCGATCGGCGGATCTCAACCCGGCCCTCAAACCAAACAACGCAGTCTGCGCAAGATGCATCTTGCTGATTCAAGAACCATCTACTTGCTACGACTGAGGGCTTTTGTATTGACCTCAAAGCGGTGGGCGCTTCGAGGCGAGGTCGAAGATGAGGGCTGGGGCAAATATCAAGTTCGGTGCGAGATGGTTGCAGTTGACATTGCTTTTGTGTTCGTGGTGGTGCGACCTGACTCGCACAGGCACCAATTCCCACACTCTGAACTGTGCTCCAAATTCGGAGGCTGAGTGATCGCCTTGTCCAGTCCATACGCGAAGGATGGTCTCCGCGCAGGAGATGAGCGATTCAATCAACCCTGGAAAGAGGACCTTCAGACGCCAAGCATCTTCAGACGAAGTAGTACTTTCAGAACTATCAAGTCCACTGACGACAGAAGCTCTCTGACTATGTCGTTGGTTCTGGAGGCCTTGAGCTCATGTCCCTCTGCACCGTCAAGTTTCTGTCGTCTGCAAGCTGCACGAGGTTTGCATTAATGGAAGTGAGATTCGCAAAGGACCGGCGTCCTTACCTTGAGCAGGGTACAGATGGAGACGAAGCTGAAGTATGAAGACATCCAGAACATTGTATCACAACTATTGTGCCGGCGCTCATTCCCGTGCTCATCGTCCTAGCCTCGGATATCAGCGACTGACTTTTCGTCAACTTTGCTTCACTAGGTCGCCATCGTTCGGCAAGACACCGAGCGATCGAGGCATCCGATTGATAGACACGCGCTCACCGAGTCATTATCATTGGTCTACGGAGGTAGCCATTGTTGTTATCACCCATCAGCGCACTTGAGACCCCTCCTAGGGTACATTCATCATTCGAAAGGTGCCCTTATCATGACCTTTCTCCAACCAAGCCGACGATTGAAAGGACAAAACGGCATTGCTGCCCTCACCCTTACATTCCTCCCTCCAGCCATTCGTATACACATGAAATTCTGCATTCGGATAAAAGGTAAGCAGCCATGACATCCTTGTCACTCGAGACCATCCCAGTCATCGACTTCTCGCGATATTCTACCAATCTGCCCTCTCTCGCGCGAGAAATCAAGCAGGTTTGCTCAACATGGGGATTTCTTTATCTCAGCAACCACGGCCTTCCCCAATCAACGATCGATCGAATGTTCGACATTAGCTCAACGTTCTTCAAAACCACCTCTCGCGAAGAGAAAAGCTCGACGCCGTGGAACAGCATTGTCAATGCCGGGTACGATGCAAAAACCGGTACTGAAGGATATTTCAACGAGAATGGTGCTAAAGACCGGGTTTCAGCAGTGGATGAAAAGGAGGTATTCGTGATTCGCAAGCAGGCATCTTATGAGCAACCCATGCCGCCCTCTTTGAAGAAATTCAACCCAGAGATTCAGGCGTTTATGGGAGAGGTGCACGAGAAGATCGCTGTCCCGTTACTCTCATGCCTTGGTGTTGGTTTGGGTTTATCCGCCGACCGTCTCCCGCAGATCCATCAGCATGAAAGTCCATCGATGACAACCCTTCGTCTCATCCATTACCCTGCGCTTCCACCCACCGAAACCGCAAAAATTCGCCTGGGATCCCACACAGATCAAGGTGTAATCACAATCCTCTTCCAAAACCTTGTCGGTGGCCTCCAGATACGACCACCGAAATACACAGGCCCTATCCAGGACGATGAGAAATGGCTTGATGCGCCTGTTATTCCGGGTGCGGTGCTCATAAACATTGGCGAGACGATGACCTTTTTCTCCGGTGGGCTTATGAAATCCACGCTCCACCGTGTAGCTCGATCTCCATTGCCCGAGGATCAGGGTAAAGAGAGGTTCTCGATGGCGTATTTCTGCCATCCGAATATAGATACATTGCTGGAGGTCCTTCACGGGATTGAAGGGGAAGATGGGAAGCAAGTCCAAAGAAAAGAGCCGCCCATAAGTTGTGTCACGGGCCAGAGGGTCAAGACAGTCAAGGAGTGGATCGAACACAGGCATTCAATGGGACGCTTAGAGAAGGTGAAGTGATTTCAGACGAAGAAGACTGTTCTTGGACAGTCCCCTATGGAACGGGAAGGGGCTTGAGCTGAAACAAGACGACGCCGGGAGCCCATAGAAGTTTATGACATGCGGATTATATTGCGGTGTGGTAGCAAGGCATATATTGCAGCGTCCGACATAATTCGGAGAAAAACAAGTCGAACAAGGGGTGCGGCCATAGGTGAATATGCATATCCTCAAATTGTAATTGCATTGGTTATTTTTCCTCCGAGAGGACCAGTCCCAGCATTTCACAGAACAGAGCATACCTCATTTATACGATCCATTTACAATTGCCATGGAATAAGCCTTGACAGACTACTCGAGAGAGGCGAGGCTGTGCTAGTCCTATTGGGGATTAGTACATCGTATTTTCGCCTCAGACCCATTCAAGGAAACTGACACTCGATGACATCCATGAAGTCATTTGTCTTCTTTACTCTTCCGACAAAGAGTATCAGATTTACTCTTCTCTACTGGGAGTATGATTATGGAGGCCTCGGAACCAGAAGAAATCAACAAAAATGAGTGGTGGAACCCCCCATCCGGCGCACTCTGCTTTCCCTTTCCAAGATGCTTAAACGACACCCTTGGCAGACGAATCTCAACGACCATCTGGGTTTTACTGACTTTCACGCTGACGTCAGTTTCTGCGGTCCTTGTCGGAATGTTATCTATCTGGCCTGAAGCCGGTAGTCGGTCTTCCCGCGATATCCGACCCACTTGGTTCTTTTGGATGTGATACACCTTACGACTCTGCAATTCAACGTCACACCACACGAAAATCTATTATGAGGCATTGGCGAAGGGAAATTTGCTCATTCAGCCCAACTGGCTTCTTGTTAGAGATACTTGCATGGATGTGACATTTCATGTGCCAGACGTCCAGCCTCAACTCGATTTGGACCTCTTGGCTAGACCAGGGTACCTTCCCAGAAGCCGAAAGAGGACCCAAGACTGCACTTCTCAGCGCTGAGATGCTCCCTTGCCGAATCCAGGCCGCTAACTTGCTCGTATGAGTAGCGACTTGTTAGCGACTTCTTAACTTCTCACCCATAATCTCATGATTACTTTTGAAGATGCTCGATCTTGCCGACGGTAACAGCATTGTGGGCCGAGCGGTCTTCTTTATCCAGACCCCGAAAGTGGAGGTGTAACTTCTGGACCCCGAGGCTCTGGATCACTGAAGGTAGCTACATCCGGTATGGCTCAGCCTAGCAGGGCTATCAAATGGTGTGGCCAATACCGAGCATCGGATATAAGTATCAAGCTACCCGGTATTTGCTTAAACTTCACTGTCATGTTACAACCCCCAGCACTCATAAAACCGAGCAAGTTTCGATCGCTGTAGAAATGCTATCGACAACCACAATATCGCATAACATCCACTCATCATCACCTGTGGCCCAGTTAGGGCGAGCTGCATTCCCTCTCGCTCATACCAGAAGTGCTCTTCCAAGACAACACGCGGCGCTCTGGATTGGGTCGGCCAACTACTCATCCACAGCGGGGACGCCGTCACGGCCATTCTCATCAAAATCCCAGACCCACCCTATCGGCCCGTTCAGTCTCATCAAACCAGTCCCTCACAATGCGGCGAAGCTTGCTTCTGCACGAGAATTCTCGACAACACGTATAGCAAAGCTCCGTGATTTTTTCCCGCCTCAGGAGACCAAATTTATTCGCCAGACGCCGCCCGCCTGGGTGCATCATGGCTATACCGAGGCCGAAATGACGAATGTCGAACCCGCCCATCGAGAACCAAAAACCATGGGTGACTGGTTTGCCTGGAAACTCATCAGATTCTGTCGGTGAGTTTCGTCGAAATTTTGAAAGCAGCAGGATCCGTCGGACTAATAATCACATAGAGTTTGCATGGATCTCGCGACCGGTCTCCGCCCAGAACAACAAGTCGACAAAAAGAATCCTACCACAGCAGTTGAGGCAGCCAAGCCATTAACGGAAGCACAATGGGTGCGTCCTAGGCCATGAAATGCGTTTTAACTCTCAGCTGATTTTTAACTTTGGCAGCTCGTACGTTTTGTATTTCTCGAATCCATTGCCGGCGTCCCTGGCATGGTTGCGGGTATGCTGCGACATCTTCGGTCTCTTAGACGGATGAAGCGCGACAACGGCTGGATTGAGACGCTATTGGAAGAGTCATACAACGAACGAATGCACCTCCTAACTTTCATGAAGATGTGCGAGCCAGGTTGGTTCATGAAGACCATGATCCTGGGCGCCCAAGGCGTGTTTTTCAACGCATTATTCTTCTCATACCTGATTTCGCCAAAGATCTGCCATCGTTTTGTTGGCTATCTGGAGGAGGAAGCAGTGCACACTTATACCAGATGCATCCGCGAGATCGACCAGGGAATGCTGGAGAAGTGGAGTAACCCAGACTTCAAAATCCCGGACATGGCGGTGCAATATTGTAAGTCTCCCGAAATACAAAAGTCTTGACTGCTTTGAGTATTATGCAGGCGACATTTCTCTCTCTCCCCAAACTCGTCTTCTTCCTGATGCTAACGGCAACTAACAAAAACCAGGGAACATGCCCGAGGGAAAGAGAACCATGAAAGATCTCATCATGTACATTAGAGCCGACGAAGCGGTCCACAGAGGCGTCAACCACACACTGAGCAACTTGAACTATAAAGAGGACCCGAACCCGTTTGTCAGCGACTACAAGACCGAGAGTTCCGGCCACAAGCCCAAGGCGGTCCTGAAGCCAGCCGGGTATGAACGAAGCGAGGTCATTGGTTAGAGTGTAGACGATACATGTATAATGTCTTCCCGGTAGAAAAAATAGAGTCCTCAATCAATCTTATGTTCAGCATCTTGTTTTTCTCTTTCCTCCTTTTTCTGACCGGGGTCACGTTGACCAGTTCAGGTTCACCATACGAGATACTAAAAGGGAGATGAAAGCGCGATACGTTGCGCCGCTCCAAGTCTTCCCGTACCTGCAAATGGATAGCTTCAACTGGTGACTTTCGACTGGGGTCCAAGATGGCATGGCCACATGAATAATGCCATAACATGATGTCGAGAACAAGGCCAACGTGGAGCTCTCATAATGATCGTACAATTTCAAATATCAGCTCTAGAGTCTACGTGAGTAACAATGACATCCCAATAGAATGATGGGAGAAGCGGTCTTCCGGCGAAAGTAACCCCTGTGGCTTGCTTTGCGGCACTGCACAGCCACCCGCGGCGTGCCCTTCGGGTTTCGCCCCTCCTAGAGCAGGTCTTTGTCGTGATATAAGATTGTCCGCGCTCCATAATACTCGCGTCTATTCTAGGAACGCGTCTCCCTTTCCATCTGGAGACAGCAAACAAGTGATTCGAAATGCTGGGCTTCGCTTCAAACCATTCTCCTGTACAAAAACCCGAGGTAAGAATGGGAGCCGAAGCATAGACGCACGCATCATCAAAAGTCTCAGGTAAAGCATTTCTGCACGTTGCTGCATTCAGGCTACCGAGGCTCGAGTCCGAGGGATGCCTGGTGTGTATTGTCCAAGGTTTGATTTAATTTTGTGTGTTCTATCGAAAGAAACAGCCAGCAGAGAAAAGTAATTCAAAACGTTCTCAAGGATGGGGTCCATCACAGTGGAAAGTTTGTCTGTACCAGAGATCCTTGAGCACAAGTATGCGGCAGAGCGGGACAAGTGTCTTCGCAGTGACGGAAATGCGCAGTATCTTAATCTCATTGATTCGGACCGTTTCCAGCACCTCGAGGAAGATCCATGGGTGGATCATGCAACACTCAATGTCCAAGCGCCTGTGATGACCGATGGATCTTCTTGCAAAGTCTTTATACTGGGTGCCGGATACAGCGGGCTAGTCTAACGCTGCTCGACTTATTCAAGCAGGGTTCGACGCCAGCGATATTCGACTGGCTAAGCGCGCTGGCGGCTTGGCGAAACATGGTACTGGAAGCGATGCCCTGGATTAATGTGTGACATTGAAAGTTATATCTATCTTCCTCTCCTTGAGGAGACTGGCTATATGCCAAAGGATAAATACTCCTATGGCCCGGAGTTGCTTCAGCATGCGAAAAGAGTTGCAACGCATTTCAACCTCACTAATAAAGCGCTCTTTCGAACTGCTGTTGAGAGCATGGAATGGGACACGGCGCAAAAACGTGGCTCGTCAGCATGACGCAAAATCGAGGCCCAGGCCAAGTGTGTATAAAGCTGACGATTCAAGCGCAGTTTGTGATCATCGCTCCGGGCGTCTTGAATCATCCTAAAGTGCCAGATATTTCAGGACTTGACGAGTTCCAGGGGCATGTGTTCCACACTGCGCGCTGGGACTACGGTTACACTGGCGGTTCACTCAGAGACCCAGTATTGACCGACTTGAAAGACAAGAGAGTGGGTATTATTGGCACCGGAGCAACCGCAATTCAAGCCGTCCCACAGCTCGCAAAGTGGGAAAAAGAGCTCTATGTCTTCCAAAGGACGCCAGCGAGGGTAGATATCCGAAATCAAATGGCGACCGACGAAGCCTTGTGGATTAGCAAAATTGCTGGCAAACCCTGGTGGCAGCTAGCACAGCGGCAGAACTTCAATGCAGTTCGCGCGGGGGCTTTGGTTGACGAGGATCTGGTCGCTGATGGATGGTGCGCAACACCCTCCGCGGCAGCTAGTTTAGGCAGTCCTGTGAAAGGAATTATCTCGCCAGAAAGAGTGAAGGACCATGGCGCCGAAGTCTATGCCATAGACCAGGAGAGTTCTGAAAGGGTTCGTGCACGCGTAGCATCGATCGTCAGAAATCCTAAAACCGCAGAGAAACTAAAAGCATGATATCCTGCGTGGCGCAAGACCCCGGGCTTCCACGATGAATATCTCGCTTCCTTCAATCAGAGTAACGTTCACCTTGTGGACACTGATGGCAAAGGTATCGAGCGTCTCAACTGGAGGGGCCTCATCGCTAACGGAAAGCAATATGACATTGAGCTTTTGCTTTTCGGCACGGGATACCGAGCCCCAGCCGCACACAGCGGGAGCCCTGCGGTTGCCGCAAAAATCACCATCGCTGGATGGGAAGGCCGGTCCCTGGAGGCAAAGTATCTCTCTTGCGGGGTGTCCACACTTCACGGAATCAGCTCGCACGGCTTCCCGAATCTGTTTTACTTCGGCACATCGCAGGCTGCCTCTGCTTTCAACATCGTCTGCATGGCCGATGTGCAGGTCCAGCATATTGCATATATTCTGACCGAAGCAACGCGCCAGCATGACCATGCGGTGGTCGAAGTCACAAAGGAAGCAGTGAAGGAGTGGGCCGCCAAGATCGCCAAACGAGGCGCGTGGTCCGCGGTCATGCTTGGCTGTACGCCGAGTTGGCTGAACGGAGAGGGTGCGGGCTCCAAAGCGAACAGTGATGTGCGCGAACAGGTGAAGAAAGCCAGATCTGCGCCTTGGGGGGAAGGATTTCGCAGCTACGAAGACGTCCTCGAGTGTTGGCGCGCTCAAGGCGATCTAAGAGGCATAGGTATCTCTGGTTGATTATGGTGCCCTAGCATCAACATCTAGCCTCCGAGGCTTGGTGAGACTGCTTGCAGTTGACCTCGGAACCCAGTGGCAACAGCGGGGGATTATTTCTAGTAGATTTTGATTTTTCTGAGGCTTTGGTTGATTCATTTGTAGTTGAAGATCGATGAATCATATTTGGGTATAGCGAGAGGCCGAGTAACAAGAATATTTCGGTGATAAAACTTGGTCATGATGAGAATGCTAACACCTGAGATCTCTTATGATCATAAACTAAGTCATCAAGATTCAGAGTGAAGTCGGTAATGAAGGAAGCAAAGTGGTTCAGTCTTCTAGACAACCATTCATTCCCTATTTCTCCCTCGTTATCTAACAGGTTTTGGTTCGCCGGTGAAAGGGCCTGCGCATTTTCCACCCATTTCCAGGGAGAAGTTAGAAATTGTTAATGGTTATAATGACGCTCGTTGTTGCTTGTAATCGATCGCATATGCTCAGTTTGCAAACCAAAATTTTCGAGGAATACAAAGCCCTTATTCCCAATCACTATGTCGGGTGTCAATGTCCCACGAAACATGAGTCACCCTAATACGTGACATTTCCATCTGGTCAACAATTCTTCCCGTCATCTTCTTGAATTAGATTCGAGGGACGAGTTAAGCGCTTCTGGGAGCATCGGACAATTTTGCTCTCCAAGGCTTGATAGCGCGGCAACTTTCGCTGGTCTCAAGGAGTTGAAGAGCCCCTTTCAATCTCTTCGACAGAAGCGCTCTTTTCCCGCTCCTTCAAATAAGAGACTGGGTCCAGCTCAGCCTGTCTTGCGGCGTCTTCAATGTGGATGGCCACCGGATCTCCGAACAACTCCTCGACCTCTTCGAGAGTTTTGTTTGCGGTCTCGGGGAAGCTAGGTTTTGTTAGCCATATCCTGATCAAAGAGACAAAAGGGAGGAACCGATGCAACCTACTAGAAGTAGAAGATTACTGTGTACAAAGCAGTGCAGATCACAAAGATCATAAAGTATTTCCAGCTGATGTGTTCAATGGCAATCGGCGTGACCTGGACGAGACAGATGACGAAGGCACTACCCCAGGCAGTGATGGTGCCTCCCAGTACTGCTCGAACGGGCGTAGGTAGGATTTCCGGGATGTAGGTAAAGACAAAACTGTTGAAGATGACGCCATATCCGACGAGGAAGAGAAACATGGCGACGACAGCCAAAATCCCGTAAGTCTTATTGAGGTTGTTCGTATTTTCAAAGGAGGCCCAGAACGCGCAGAGAAGGATGGATGACGGTATGATGATACCCAAGGCGATAAACATCATCCTGCGGCGGCCCCATTTGTCGAAAAACCAAGCACCCGGTATGTTGGAGAGGACACCTACTGTACCCCAAATGCCGACAAGGACAAGCGGCAGCTTACCGGAGATCCCTAGGCTACCGTAGACGATCACCTGGTAGTTCTGGAGTGGAATGACGCCGGTTAGCTGCTGTCCTGTGCACAGGATAAATGCAATATAGAGACGTTTGCGGTTGGACGGGCGCTTGAGGATCGTGAACAAGTTGTCTTTCTGGTCTACTTCAAGCTGGAGCTGAGCTCGAATTTGGTTGAACTCGCTCATGAAGAACGTATCGTCATCCGATGTTTGGTGCATGCGTCGGAGTATCACTAGAGCTTCTTCGTGTCGGCCCTTCATGATCAACCAGCGCGGACTCTCCGGCATCCAGATAGCTCCAATAAGCATGACGATGGGGGGAACGACCTGGAGGCCAAAAAACAGACGCCAGGCAACGTCGCTTTCGATGTAGGAAAATCCAAGACCCTGGCAGTCAATCAGCACCGACTGAGGTATGAATGAAATTGAATTATATTTACCATCCACTCAGTAATCGCATAGGCCAGAGAGATATTAATACTACCGTCATCAGTAGTGCCTTTTACCTTTGCAGGGCCAATGTACGTACGCATATAAGCCGCCAATGCGTCCTCGAACGTGAGGCGGAGCAATCTCAGCTGCGTATGTGGGACAGACGGCGTAAACAAGACCGCCAGCAAAACCCCCAATGCCACGACCGACTAACATGACAGCGAGACTTTGTGCCCCCGCTTGCATGGCATTTCCAGCTAGAGCAATAGTGCTTGCAAGAATAATTGTCCGAAGTCTTCCTATCTTGTTGGGAATGTAGAGCATGGCAAGTCCACCGAGGAAGAGCCCAGAGTAGTAAATAGACCCGAGAACACCGATGAGTGTCGCATCGAAGCCAAAATACGTGATGAACTAAACACATGGATCAGCTGAGGTCGAAGTTTTCAACAGACATTTGGAGGGGAGTACGCACACGGGGATATCCAATGACGGATGTTGTCAGCCCGGAGTCATATCCATAGAAGAAGGCACCGAAGGTGAGGTAGATGACGCACAAAAGGCCATAGTTATTCATGGCTGCTGCACCTCGAGTCAAATGTTAGTAGAACTATGGTGCAAGTTCACAATGCAAGGAAGAGGGTGTTTTGCTATTTCGAATGGGAGAAAGTGGTGCCTTTATGCGTTTCTCCTGTTTCGGGAAAGAAGCTTCAAGCAGCAATACCCGCTTTCCAGCCCCCAGACCTCTCCAGGAAAGCGGAGAAGCCGGGGAAGGAACGCATCAAGAACTGAAGAGAAGGTCAAGAGTAGCCGAGTCAGCATGATCACGGCCCGACAGGCGAGGCTCCCCGGATCCCAATGGGGATATGAGCTCCCTCGGTCTTGGCTGCGTCTGTTGTTCTATCAAGGTTGCCGATGCAGTTGAGACTTCACGCTCGCTACAATCCCTCGGTAATGACCAGGTTCAGACATTAGACAAGCGGTTCCCTCACCGAACTTCCTTGGCAATAGCCAGCTCTTCGAGCTGCTGTTTGACAAATGCAAAGACTCAAGCTTTGTTGATATCTGACTTCGATAAGAGGTGTCGTTAGAGTGTCAGACAGAAGGAGAGGGGTTTCATCGTGTAGTCAGAGAGTTGTCAGCAACAGCTGGCCAATCATAATATACGAGAATAATAGAATGCCTAGGTCCACCTGTCTAAATCGGGTATCGAATGAAACTTTGCATCCACCCTAGACCCAATTTATTATGGACACAAGCTCGGAGGCCGGCATTCTTCCACACTATCCGAGCCCTTGAACTATGCTACTTATGGTTCACGGGAGGATGGTCGACTGTGTGATACCAGCTGTGCTTTGCAATGTTGATGTTACTGGCAAAAAGAGAAAGAACAAGACGACGAGTCCAGGTCTCTACCATCTCATCTATCAAAGAATACTCTGCCCGTGCTGATTCTTCTGTCTGCGTCTCTTCTTTGCTAGTCTTCAAGATAATGTACCTCCAAGCCCTCGAAACGATCGTCTGCCCTCCACTTCCTAGTCAGCTCAAAGAAGGCTGGGGAGCCTCCACCATAGATCACGTTCCTCTGTGATTTCAAGTCGTCGAATTCCCCTTCATTGTTGTAGTAACCTGGGGTGCAGTCCTCAAGAAATTTCCGTCGAGGCTCCGCCAAGTCAACGCAGAGCTGAACCCAGGCGCTCTCAGCTTCACCAGTGGGCTCAAGAGAACGGACCTTCTTGTCACAGGCCCGTCTGATAACATAAGCGAAGTGCTTAGCTTGCTCTGCCGTCGCATGGAGGAAGTTTGGTGAAACGGCTGCCTGAACACTGTTGACAAAGAAGCAATTGGGGAAGCCGCGGCTCGTCCAGCCATGGAACGTTTGGAATCCATTCTTCCACTTTTCAGTCGTTGTAATCCCGTCTCGCCCGTATAACTCCATTCCCGTTCGCTGTGCCCAATCAGTGGCTAGTTCGAACCCGGTCGCATAGATCAGACAATCGATTTCGTAGTTTACGCCGTTCGCCATCACTCCTTCGGGTGTAATCCTGTCGATTCCTTTTCCCTTTGTGTCGACTAGCTTGACGTTTGGCCTGTTGAATGTCTGAAGGTACTGATCATGGAAGCATGGCCTCTTGCACATCTGATTATACCATGGCTTGAGAGCTTCAGCAGTTTCCTTATCCTTCACAATACTGTCGACGCGAGCACGTATGGACTCCATCTTCTTATAGTCCGCAAGCTGAATCTTTGCCGCAAGCTTGGCAGGATCCATGGTGGCAATATCATCTCCGGTTTTGCGAGGCCACAGATTTCTTAAGATGTCGGTCCAACCGTCAGCGACTAGGTCTTCCTCAACATACCCACCCGCAATGACGGTGTCGAAGTTATCCATTCGTGCTTGCTGCCACCCTTTTGTCAGCGACTTTGCCCACAAGGGATCGGTCGGGCGGTTATTGCGGACGTCAATGCTCGACGGAGTACGCTGAAAGACATAAAGCTGTTTAGCTGCAGCGCCAACATGAGGTACGATTTGCACCGCTGTTGCACCAGTCCCAATGATCCCGACGCGTTTATCGGCCAATTTCCTTAAATCTCCCCGGTTATGGCCACCAGTGTAGTCATAATCCCAGCGAGATGAGTGAAACATGTGGCCCTTGAAAGAATCTATCCCTGGCACTCCGGGTAGCTTTGGTCGGTGAAGCGGTCCTGCTGCCGGTATGATGAAACGGGTAGAGATGGTATCCATTCGGTTTGTTTCGACGTCCCAGAGAGTTGTTGCCTCATTCCATTGGAGTTTTAGGGTCTCAGTTTGAAAAAGCGTTTTGTCATATAAACCGTAGTGGATTCCAATTCGGTGTGCATGCTCCAGGAGCTCAGATGCATGGGTGTATTTCTCGGAAGGTATGTAATTGGTCTCCTCACATAGGGGCATATACACATAAGCTTCGATATCGCACTGGGCTCCGGGATATCGATTCCAGTACCTGAAAATGATGAGTTTTTCTGTTTAGGCCGGAGCTCAGTGAGAAAGAACTATACCAAGTGCCCCCGAAATCACCTCCCTTTTCGATAATCCGAAAATTTGTGATACCTTGCTCAAACAGTCGCACAGCGCAAAGGAGGCCACCGAACCCTCCGCCGATAATGATTACAT